ACTCCATAAAATCCACCTAAGTTCTGCACAACTAGCAATTCAAAAAGAAACAAATGTTACTATAAATAATCCACCTGACTTCAACGTAATCAAGTGGGACTAATCTATAGAATCCAATCAGATCTCAACAAAAAAATAGAACTTAAATAATTGTAAGCATTAATGATAATATGCATGTTTTTAACTAAATTTATGTAGTAATTTTTGGATAAATGATTCATATACTCATAAATGTATGCATATTATCAGCCCTCAATACTTTTTAAAGCAAATGCATTCTGTACTGTATCTACATCCGATGGCTGATCTCCTGAGAAAGACGGTTTGTATAGAAGCTCCATTCTGATTAGGACGAGGTGCACCTGGCACTGTCCATTCCATTACTATAAAAGGTAGAGTCAACGATTTAAGCTGCAAGACCATATATATTCCAATAAATCCTTTGGGAATGGTACAACACCCAAATTTCACAGTTTGTAAGCCTAAGACTTTTAGTAAGATAAAAGAAAAGGTGAAGCCCAACCGATAAACGAAAATTGTATAATTTTCCACGTACTAGATTTATAAATAAAACAGGGTGAAGAGTCTAGCTAGCTGCTCGTCATCTTATAATATGTTATGCTTCCTTTTAAAAGGTAATCAACTAAGATAAAGAAGTAAAGAGTGAAAAATGTAGTCCACCTTCATCATATATATCAACATGATACTGAGAAATGCATATTACTATCTTTATTAATACACCACTAAGCTGGGAATGGGAGTGTGATGACCATAACAAATTTCCTATAAAACATTACTGGCAACAGACAAAGAACCAGGTAAGGCAGGCCATAGCCTTTTACCATTATCGGATTTTTTGTCATCATCCACACCTCAACTGGAGCATCACGAAACAGAATAAGAGGATACCTGAAATTCAAAGAAGCCAAGCAGTAAAAGCCTGAAACAAACTTGACGCAATGGCAAGCATTGATTTCCTCTTCGAACATAATAAAATTGACGTTTCTGCCGAGGATTCTGGTTTCTTTTTTATAGTTGTTTCTGTGCAGTCTCCATACCATGGACACCAGTCGTAGGATCTCCATTCTCAACAAGAAAAGGAGGATAATTCTTATCAGATATAACTGTAAAAATGATGACTCGTTGCATCTTGAGATGCTTTCACAAAAGAGGTAGAGGATCATCAACAATACAAAAATGCACACCATAAATATTTGATGACCACCCGGATGTATGACAGGGATGAAAACCGCACATGGTAGCCGAAATGTGGTCTTGCATATGGAAGAAACAAGAAAAATGGCGCACAGCAGAAAATCACACACTTTAATGAAAAGGAAACGTTTTAGAGTTTCCAAACTACACGAACAAGTGACAAGGAACACAACCATGTGGCTAAGAATGTGATCACGGGCATGGGAGAAATAAGAAACATACATAGCAAAGATTGAACAGTCACAGGAAGCACACGTTTGTTAGAGTTTTCAGGCCACACTAACCAGTTATTTTTTACAGGAAAATTGGCAGATGCTTAAAACTCAGGACGCATAATAACCACACTATCTACGTGAAATGTAGTTCAATCTAGGCCCGAGCATAAAAAAATCCAAGGTTAGGAGCCGCCCTAACTGTAACCTGATAGGCTGTGGCTAATGTTTAAATGGCCTAGAAAAGTTAATCTGACAAGCTTTCCAAGAGAACACTCGGTCGTTCAGGATAAATTAGAAACAGTCATCTGCACCCTACACAAAACTGTGCAAAACATGGGAAAAAGAAATCACCTACCTGATGAAGAAGCCCTCAGAGCACTACCTGGGGCACGTTCTGGCTTTTGTAGGACACGGAAAGGGCGATTGAGGACAGTTCTAACAAGTCACGCCAAGTTTATTTGTAAACCCACCTCCTTTGTCATTGGACATAAATGAAGTCAAAGGTTATTAGACTCATGACACAGGTACATGAAGGAATATCATTAAAATTCTTAAGAACAGTTACAAGCTGAGCATTGCTAGTATAAAGAAAATTACTGAAACAATCAGATAGTCATTCCTCCCGCCAATAAGAAGGTTGCACATCTCTGTAAACTATCATTGGTTCCCTCCCAATCGAAGTGTGCTTGAAATGTTCTTGCTGGTTTTGACAGTTCTGACAGTTATGTCAGTTATTAAACAGATCAAAGAAGGATCACCCTAGCCCATGAAACCTAATTTCCAGTTCCAGATCCATAGTTTTGAAATCCAGAGAGATGACAAAGATTCATTCATTGGGATAAAGGAACCTATTGTGAACTTGACATAAAGAATGACCAGTCAAAGAGATCATCTACAACTCGGGCTCTGTATCATGCAAAGTCTCTATAAGGGACAATAAACAAAAAAAGCACAAAAGTAGAGAAGGAGATAAAATCCTTGGCAAAAGAGAGATAAAAGGGAAACTAAACTGGGAAAAGAGATAGGTTCCTCAGTGCTAGAATAATAGAAGACGAAACAAAAAGATTTTAGAAAAATAAGTATGATCTCCACCCTAGCTTCTGTAAAGTTATCCTCATGAATTATTATGTCACGAGTATACTTTATCTTGATTATTGCAAGTGTTGCTTTCACTTCTGAAGTCCAAAGTATGGGGGTTCTATCTGCAATCATGCCATAGATCCAAAGAAATTTGAATAGACAATATTCATAAGATTTTCAATACTGAAATGTAACAACTAGCAAAAATATTAAGATATGGCGGCAAATGTTTCGACTATGCTGGAAAGAGGCGAGGATCATAATAATCCAAAGACAAGTTTTGGCTAATAGAAACAAACCCCTACCAATGGGTCTCAAATACTTGAATGTACGAAAATGACACCAGCCGAGTATTGGTGAGCCACCTTAATCCTCTGACTATGCTACTATGAGCAGAAGAGCTCGCAGCCACAGCATTGGAATAAACATCGACGATATTGATATTCCCACTCTGGGTCCCCAAGGCAACAAATGGAACAACTGCTGCTCGACTATTGCCCCCACCTTAAAAGATGCATATCAAATCAGCTTAAAATACACACCACTATTTTTAATTCACAAAATGTCACATGTAAATTCAAAACCGAAAATGAATATTGACAGAACAAGGCTTACAAGACAAAGTAGCAGTTCAAGATGGAGAAAGGACAGCTAGAGTAGTCACTGTTGATGATAAGAGATGAAGTTGGCCAATCAGGCTGATCTGCAAGGAAAAACCATAAGCATTCTCAACTTCAATGGTAAATGATGCAAAAGGAAATCTTCAACAAGCAAGAAAAAAGAAAGTCGAAGCAAAAATGTTTGCTAGATGTACCAGAGATGATGATCAGTGGAAGTAAATTTCCTTCATCTACAGTCGGTGAGATAGTTCTTTACGGCCACTGAAGAAGCCAAACATAAATGGACATCGATGTATCACCTATGCTAGTTGTGCTGTTCTAGTGAATGATGATACTTGGGAACATTTTCGTAGCTGGAGATGCCTTAGATAGTACGGAGAACCTATCTTTCATTTACACTGTCATGCATCCCGAAATACTATATGGAATGTATCAGAAAACAAGAATTCAAACTGAAATTGGGGTTTCCATCCATACTCACAAGACGCATGTATATAATTCATCATATGCTGATGACAATATGACGTTCTGCTATAATAGAAAATGAACAACTATGCAAGTACTGACAAGGAATTAAACTGTAAAAGGAGCACTGAGATGACTTTGTCTCTTCGGGGACAGTGGGCAGCGTAGTTAGATCTACATCTCGTCAAGCTAACTCAAAATTTAAGATGTTCGGGTGGTTTTATAAGACTTTTTTGCAGACACTTGTAACTTCTACTTGACCACCTGGGATTATCTATTAAAAAAAGTGCCAAAGTCAGCCTTCTCTATGACTTGGTTGACACTTCTCTCTTGTGCAGGAGGTAGTGCATATAGCCATGCTGAGCATACAGCTCTGCACTCCTACAAACCTAAGAGTTTCAGACGACCGATTATTCTAGCTCAATTTTGGAAAGAATGATACGCTAGAAAAAAGAGCCCTGAAAGACCTGATCCAAAAAAATAAAATGGAAGTGAACAGAAAACTACACAATAACCAAAAATCAAGAATACACACCATAGAAGAGACAAAGTTCCATGAGCTAGTTTCCAACCTTGACAAGAAGTTTATCACTGGGACTTGAGCCAGCCATCCGTGAGGTAATGTTTTTTTCCAGTTCCTGTTGTTCACCCTCATTCTGGGAAGTATCTATTGGCCTGTACTGCATTCTCTGAAGGTTATTGCCAATGTTGTCACAAGGTAAGACCATATTTGGCCCAGTATCCTCACCATGTCCTGCCAATTCAGAAACTAGGAGCCAATTCCATATTTTCCCATCATCAGTAATAGATAGCAAGCATTTCTTGGAACTCAATGTGGATTTTCGACGAAAATCCAAGGGTTTTTCATTAATCATGACGAGCTGTAAGGTATATTGAGAGAAAGGTAGCCAATATTTCGAATGGTAGATTCAGATTGGCAAAGGATTACAGCAAGGACACTAGGGGATGGAACTGGAGTCCTAATTGTAGGCACTAAATCTTCCCCTGTAGACAACACATGAACCTGTCCATCACTGAAAAAAGGCACAATGAGCACGACCACTATGCACAGAATAATATACTATTTCACAAAGGTAGGATACTTGACTATTGATGAAGAACATGGTGCTGTGAAAGAAAAATTGATAGTAAGAATAGATGATACCACACAAATTTGAATTTAATTTGAGCCAGTTGAAAAAAGTTTGCACATACTTTAATCATCTGGCCTACTAACGGACGTTTGTAATCTCCCAGGACTGCTTATTGGCGGATAAAAAGAACATTTAATCAATTAAGATACCTAAAATATAAAATAGGTCAGTAGGACGAGTTCAAAGCCCCACAACAACAACGAAACCACAATCATCTCTCTGATAAGAGTCACTGACTCGAGAAAAGCTCACTACAAGAGTACAAGCCCAAGATCTGATGGCTTCAATGGGTGCTGGAGACGGTAGTTGTACAGGTAGTAGTGCAGCTGCCCATCTCCAGGACCAAACTTCAGCTCCTTCAAGAATTTCCCATTGTGCATCACATCAAGCGCATTGAATACATCATATTCCTTCTGCTTGGCCACAATGAGCGCATCGTTCATCAATTGGAGCAGGGGAGTTTTTGTAGCAACATTGTAATAAGAATAGGCAGCCTTGAGTACTGAGTAGTTCTGGTTTGAGAGGATGGATGACGGCAGTGTATAGAAGCTGCAGAAGTCAGTAAGCTCATGTGTTTGAGGGCACTCAACAACATAGCTTTCCACGACATCCTCCCTTGGCAGGAGCCAGTGTTCCACATCGGCGTCATCAAAATCTGGGGCAACAACAAACTGAGCCAGGTAGCCTTGGAGCAAGCGTGTGACAGCAGGCACATCCCGGAGCTCCATCTTCCGAAACCCAGGCGTGATTACAGAATCCGGTAGCTTATATAGCTTAATGGTGCGGCTCATAGTCATTCGGGGCCCGAGACGAGAGAAACCCACCTCAATGAGCTTCTTCGGATTTAGAGAGCGATGCCAATACTGAGTGGTGGTGATCGGGGTGGGGAGGACGACGCCAGCAGTGTAAGCAGCCTGCCACATATTTTCCAGATGGACACGACGGGTGACCTCTTTAATCATGACGGGGGCAAGGCGTTTGGAGCGAAGCTTCTTATGGACGCAGAGGAAGTTGATCTCGGCCATCCCAACAACGTCGTTCCGGACGCGGATCCTTGCGGGGACGCCGGTTATGAACGCGACAAGCTTCTTAGACGACTTGACGCGCACGCCGATGTGCCAGGCCGTGAAGTAGGCAGGGGGGCGGAGGGCCCAACGGAGAAACTCACGGGAGTAGTTGAATCGGAACATGTTCTCGTCGTCTTCGACATAGTTGGCAGTGAGGAGGTTGTAGACCTCGGTGGCGACTGCGTCGTCGGAGATGTCGCAGGTTGACCAATCGTAGGAGGCCGGGAGGGTGTAAGGATCCGGCTTGACGTCGGAGAGCGGGATTGGGGGTTCAATGGGGCCCTCCGTCACAGTAGGATCGCCGAGATCCCTGAACTGCCCCACGGGCTGCGTCTCCCAGAAGCGGTGACGCTTGCTGAGGGCCAGAGAATCCTGAAACTTCCTATCCAGGGCGTCGATACTTGAAGACGATGAGGATGCCGGTGTGACCGAGGAGGATGACGTCGGAACCAGACCCGAGGCCGCAAGATCTTCTGTCGAAGGCGCCGGATCAGCCTGATTGGAGATCTGGTTCTCGACGTGGTTGGCATCCTCCTCGCCCGTGGCCATGGTTACAAACGAGTCCGTCTCCGGGAAAGAGATCTAGGGCTAAAATTCGGCGGCGGTGCGAAGAGGAAAGGGCTAAAATTCGACGACGGTGCGAAGACAACGTGGCGGGGAAATGGGCTGGAAATGAAAATATTGGACTGTGGCTACCTGGACGGCCCGACCGGCTTGCTCATTCATATCCACTGCCCGTCCCAGACGCAGACCACATCGCCGTCGACGCGGGAATAAACACGGTCTCTCTTCTCCCCGTCTTCTCTCTTTCGTTGCTTCAATCGATGGATTTTTCCTGATTTTCCTGCATTTTCCTGAATTTTTCCGAGAGATTCCCGTCTTTTCGAGCGTTCCGAGGTTTTCGGGGCGTTTCTCGCCGTTTTCCGTAGGGTCAACGGTCAACTCTTCGGACCGGCGCTCAGCTTTAGTCCCACATTGGTTGGACAATTTCGCGAATAGATAGTTGGGAGTCCACTCCGGCCACGGGTCCCGCTCTTATTTTCTTACTTAATTTTATTATTTTTTATTGTTATCCTAATAAACTCGCGAAAACTCCGAAAAAAATCTTTAAAATGCATAAATATTCCTTAAAATTCAGAAAAAAAATCCCAAATTTTAATTGAATTTATAAAACGTCTCAGATCATCCCGGAATTATAAATATTTAAATTTCTTGTTTAACATCATAACTCACGATCATATTTAGATTTGTATTTTCAAATAAATATTAATAAATAAATATAAATACCAAAAATCTGAAAAATATATCAATGTAATATTTTTAAAAAGTAAAACGTAAATACAGATAGAAATTGACATCTTAGTAACATAATGCAGAGAATTATCAGATAGTAAATACAAAATAACGAACTAGTGATTGTTTATTATTTATCGAAGCTCAATAGTAGTGACATGTTGTTTTTACAAGAAAAGAAATCTTTCCGCCATATCTAATGTTCCTGATGAGCTGGTGACATAGCCTTTGTAAAGAAGATGAGGCATTGTTCTTTAGTGGATGTGAAGATGCTGCTTTAGCATGGGAGCATTTAGGTTCTTGTGTTTATCCATCAGTCAGCATAGAGATACTATTTAGGAGTTAATCGCTGGATTTTTATTCTATCTACAGCAGGATATTTGTCCTCTTTTAAGCTTCGTTTAGTAGGAATTCAAAAAAAAATAGTTGGTTCTCAGTTGGCTGATAAGCCTCTTAACCAGAGTGAACAGTGGTCATTGGTTACAAAGATATAGTTCTTTGTGTTTATGACTTTATCGAGGGAGCATTTTTATCTAGTCATTTTTTTATGAAAAAATGCAAACACATGATCACAATAACAATAGAAACTCAATTTTCAAATATTAATGAAAACAAATAGAAGAGAAATCATTAAACTATCAAAAAAATTGATAAGAACAAAACTTCTATCAAACACTTCTAATCCACGTCTCAATGCTTTGAAAATGACTCATACATTAGAGAGTCAACAATGGACTTTTCTCAATGCCCTTTTGTAAAGATTTCACCTATAATAGAAGAGAGGGAAGTTATTAAGAAGATGAATAAATTTGATGGAAAGAAAAAATAAACTCAAGAAAGAAATAGTCGTCTATTGTACTCAAAAAAGAGAAAATACATACCTTAATTATAGAAAACAAAAAAAGATAACTGCTCCCCTCACACGCCTCTAAGGGTTAAGACAGGAGAACTTCTCTTGCACGACTCCCGAACGGGTCAGCTGTGATGGATTGACACTGCCAACAAAATGCACCCGCGCTATTGGCTGGTCTTCCCGTGCCCTTGGAGGCCGATTTGTTTTCCTTCAACCAGCCCCCGGGACGACGGCACGAGTACATGTGTTCCCTCCCCAATGAGACTGGAGGAGACGACGCCGCTCACCCCGCAGATCCGCAAGTGGTTTGTCCATGTCGCAATGACCCAGGGGTTTCAACGCGCCACACAGTTGGATCTGCCAGGGTCGTAAGAGTATGAAATGTGGGAAAGGATGATAATGAAATGGAGGGAAAGCTAGTAAGAGGTGGCGACCGACGACCTCCTCGTTCTTCCGGGCCCATCGCGGTGACCGGTGGTTACGCCCACCCCATCGAGGCCGACCCATAAACGTTCGTTTCAAGCTCAATGGACTGATCGTGGAATACGTAGCGACTCCACGACCCACCATCTGATCCGGTCGATGCACTAAGATAGTTGTCACTAGCATAATAAAATGTCGGCCCAATACCGTCTATGAAGGAAGGCTTTCAGCCTTCTCGGGGTGGAGCGCACACACTCACTGTGAGTCAGTCAATCTAAGGAAAAGATCAAGGAGAAGTGAGGCGAAATTTCGTCCTACTCAAAGTCAGGACAATGTCGGAGATCCAGGAAAACCAAGCAGTTTTATCCGTTTCCTACAGAATATCATCATCATCTAGTCCAGCCTCCCTACACGGAGACTCGGCAACAAAACGAGGAGGGCTACAGATGCCCATCTTTAATGGAGAGGACCCACCCCGAAGGATGCGTTTTTCTAGTAGAATTATTCTTCTCCATATTCCAGCTCACTGTGGCTGGGAAGCTTATGACAAACGAGATTGAGTCTCGAAGGAAAATCCTTTTGCATAGTTTAAATGGACTTTCTGAAATAGAGAGGATTTAAGACATCAATTGTTTGATTTAATACTTCCAACTTGTTTATACCAAACAGGGTCATTTTGTCAAAAATAAAAAAATAAATAAAGGAAATTAAATAACGGCCTCTGGTATAGTATTCAGATTGCCGCCCTATTCCACCGGAAAACAAGAATCTGAAATAATCAAACAAGACTGAAAATAGGAGGGAGAGTATGAGAATAAGTTGCTGGACGGAGAGGAGAAATATACCTCTAAATCGCAAGAGTTTTTCGTGCCAATTCGTACTCTACCGAAAAAAAGAATTCGAAACAGGTTTTAACCCTCTCTTTACACATGAGACAGTTACACATTTGCCCCTTTCTATGGCCTAAAATTGTCCCAACAGAAGAGACCACACTCTTCTTGCGTTATGGGCCTGTTCTAAGCCCAGCATTATTGAGATATTAGCCCATATCTCAACAAAAACGAAAATTGGAAAACAGACCAAGGGATTTGAGAACGTCAAAAGAGCTGCATGAAATGATAATAACGTGGAATAATTAGGAAAGGATATAGAGTTCGGGGAAGGAAAGGAAGAAAATGTCGGAAATGAAAGACAGATGAAGAACTCTTCCCGTCTGTCGCCTGAGGAGAAAGAGATAAAGTCAGAACGAGAGAAAGTCACCAAAACTAACTAATAACTCATAAACTAAACATCTAAAATGTTGAAGAAGAGGTAGAGAATGATTTCCTATTTGTGACACTGGAAAAGAAGGAGAGAGAAGAGAGGAACGCCAAGAGAAAGAGAACTCCGGAGAGAGAAGGGAGAAGAGAAAGAGAAAGATCGTTCCAAGAGAAGAAGTGTATGAAATATTTAAATAAACAGTTGGCGGCTATCCTATAGCCAAGTGTTCTTTTTTATCGTGAATATTAACAAAATAATTAATCACTAAAATTATGATAAAAAAGTCTTATTTGTATATTATTTATCCATGAATTAGTGACAATGATAGACACTTTTATCTTACTTTTCACTTTAAAATATCATGTTATCAGTAGCTCATCGTTTAGACTTGCCGTAGTAAGTATCCGCCCCGTGTTTCACGCGTCATAACTTAAACAAGTAATCATAACCACATTTTCAGTTGAATCTGGTCCATTGATTTTAGATGAGAATCTCACTTGGACGGTCACTTTTGGAAGTCTATTGTCATTCTTCTCCCGTCCCATCTCCCCCGCTCTTGTCGGCCTTGAGGCCCCTTCTCTCCTATCGTACGTGTCCTATTTTTTCTCTGTTTTTTCTGAAGTAAACAGAGTACATTCCTACGAGTCTAATATCGGCGAAATCCCCCGTTACAGCACGGCCAATTCCCCCTCAGATTGTGGGCTTCTAGCAATGTTCCGCAGGCAACTGGCATCGTCTGAAGCGGCGTCGAGGAGGGGAACGAGGTGCTGGTATGGACATCGGAGTCGGATGGTGGAGGGAAACGAAACGGCCTTCGGAGTCGGGGGCGATGAGGCCCCCTGAGAATGCGGGTTGAGTTAAGCTGATCGGCAACGTGGCAGGACAAGTGATCCGCCATAGCCAGTTATATAAAAGAATGAAATTTTTATAAGTATATTTTCTCTCTCATTCACACTCCCCTCATCCCCTCTCTGTCTCTCAGTCTCTCAGTCTCTCCCCTATTCACAGTCCGACAGCTTCTGTGACGATTAGGTGTAATCCGGAGACTCTGTCCCTCTTTACTTCTTCGTTAGAGAAGGGGGAGGAAAGAGAGGGGCAGGGATTCGACAAAGGTTTGCGGCCCGTTGGTTTGTTTCTCTCCTGGCTGCCTTCCGGACAGGAGATGGGTAGACTCTTCTTGGTGCGCTTGGACGGCAAGATTTATAGTTGCAAGCACTGCGAGACTCACCTCGCTCTTTGCGAGGATATCATCTCGAAGGTTCGGCATTAGGCACAGTAGTGTACTCATTTTTCTCTCACTCCCTCGTGTAAGCCCGTTCATCCTCGAACCTCTTGTAGGTCCTATACCTCTTACATTTACTTTCACTCTGTTCTTCCTTGTTTCAAGTTCCGTTTTTTATCTCATCTTATAATAGTTGGGATGAGGAAAATTAATATGTTCCACCCCATGGTAGAGTAGCACTCGGAATTTGATTTTGTGTCCGCTACTTATGCTTTCATCTGGTACATGCAGTTATGGATCTGTTCGATGTTACAACAATCTTTGTAAATGACTCTCAGGATGATCCCTAGTTTTACTTCGACATGTGGAGAATTGTCCGGGCATTGTCTCTAGTGTGGCTTTGGGTATAACAGAAATGAGGCTGAAGGCATCAATTATATTCTGCTATTGCATAGAACAGTCAATGCAAAACGCACGGTCTCCTAACCTTTTCATTTTTTTATACAAATGCAATCGTGTCTTTCTTTTGAGCTCAGATTTTAGCGAGCTATACTTGATATCTTTGAGAAATATCATCTTGAACTGGGACATGAAGCTTAAACCCAGTTGCTCAGTTTCTGTGAATCATCTGTAAGGAACGCGTCATTCTCTTAGACATGGTTGAGTTGCCAAACGCCTAATGCGGGGCTCTCCTGCAGGGATGCTCACATGACTTCATCTCTTTTGACTTAACATGTAGTTCTTTTCTAACTGTGGTAGGTGCTTCACACTTTCTATCACTTATTTGCTCTTTCATGGCAGTGCTTACATATACATCACTCGCTCCCTAATCTTCTTTACCAAATGTAAAATGCATTGTCTCTTTCTTACTTACTTCCCAAAAATTACTTGTCTCTCCCAAAGTGTCTTTTGCGTAATCTTGTAATGCATTAATGCCTCATGCATTGTAACAAATGAATCAACTGCCTTATGTGGCCAGAATAAAATCATTAACGGAGTGAAATCTGCGTATGTAGGAAAAAGGTTATGGCGGATGTTGTTTCCCCTCTTGAATGGTTTCATTTTCCTTGATTTTTTTTTCACGAAAAAATATTATTTTTTTACTTTTTGGCACCGCAGCAGTGGGATACACATCTTTGGCCTTAATGCCAGCCCCTTTATCTTTCAGAATGGGTGATCGGCATTGGCAACAAATATGGTAGTATTTGTGGCCAGGAGATGACAACCTTTTTTTCTCTACTTTGTGAGCAGAGTTTCTTCTTAGTCCTTGAATGTTTGATGCCACATTTACTTTTAGCTTAAATTTTAAATCTGGCTGTACCATATGAATGTCTTCAATGTTTCATATGTTGCAATTGCTGTTTAGGTAATAGCTAGGTAAGAGGTTTCTAATTCTTTCAATAGCTGAAACGAATGACTATCTCATTGTCCACCGGTTTCTTTTGATGTCATTTCCCCTTGTAGTTGTCTTATATTAGCCCATCATCGTGGTGGGTTTCACTTTCTTAGCTACCCGCAGAACAATAATGTTTTGTAGCAACTATCCGGTATCAGATCCTCTAAGGAAAAAGATCTTCAAATACACTATCGGCAGATAAAATCTCTTAATACGTGGCAGAGTCCTATCTGAAACTACAGTAAACACAGTCATCCTTTAATCAAAGAAGGCCTGATCTCTGAGTGGGAGCAGCACACGCCACATCTTATGAATTTTGAAAAATATGAGCGTTGGGATAGATAATGTCTCGTTCTCCTCTTGTGCTGCCAGGTGACGCCTTTGTTTGTTACACTCTCTCTAGAAATCACTCGTTTTCCAATTCATAATTTTCAGGTGCTGTGGCATGTTACTTGCAGCTGTCTGTCATGAGCTGTTCGGATATTTGTGTATTTTTGAAAGTATCCTGCATTATACTGAATATATATTGAGTTCATAAATTCGTAAAGTAAGGTTGGTGCTCAATATCTTAAAAGTTAAATTAATTTGAAGACGTAAGTTGTTGAAATTAAGTTGGATGTTGGATACAGCATGATCCCATTGGTGTACAATAAAATTATTTTCTTATATAATTTCCAAATATCGGAGTTCAAATAGCTTTGTAATGTGGTATGGTGTAGACATTATAACTGTCTTCTCTGTTTTCTATTTCTCTGTGCAGTCTTTTAATTGCAGGCATGGAAAGGCTTATCTCTTCAATAAGGTGTAAGATTCCCCACGCTTTTTGTATTCTTGATTGTTACAGAACTAGGCTCAAATTTTAAACCTTGGTCTAGTAGTTTTTTGAAAGAGTTTCATCTTGCTGAAAGATGTATCTAGTGCTCATATTCTTCCCCCGGGGTGCTCAATTAGTTCCATTATTTATAGCCACGTAAAAGTTATCCTTCCTTTGTGATAAAAATTGATTTACTATCAGCAAGCTTGTCTTTCCGCAACATTTCTTTGATTTATATTATGTTTCTTTCTGTGGAATAATGCATGGGAAATACAGAGTTTTTTCACAGGTTCTATATGTGTAAGCGTGTTTCCCAGTGTCATTAAATTTCCATACTTCATATAATAGTCGCCTATGTTAAATTTTCAGAAGAATAAATCAAGAAGTATCCAATATCACATACCTGTGGCTCTCTGCACAAGTTCTGTATATACAAATTTTGCAAAAATCTTAGACGACAGGTTTTTCCCCTTTTTGTAATTGAATTGGTCCCCCAAAACCGTTAAAACATAAACTATTTATTAGTTGAAACCTTTTGTTATCACCATGAAAGAAACAGATTTATTTTTCACCATGAAAATAGTTGGCGAGCCTATTGAGATCACCAATCTTCCATCTTGTAATGAAAAAACGTAGCTTTAGTTCTGTCTTTTGTATATCCTCTTACCATTTCATAGTTTCCTATTCATCATAATTGAAACACCCCATCATATCAATATGGGTTTGATTTAGGTATACCTTTTGTCTTGCAACCGCTCTGGCACAGACTGTTTATTTGCTTCCAACGACTCACATGTTATCTTGTTGAAAGTTGAGGGAGCAATACCTTTTCACAGTAGATTGTTTTGTACGGTATCTATGGGGTATTTCAAGATGGTAAAATGCTGAGGAAAAACAACATACAATAGAAAAAATCAAAGCTACTACAAGCTCCAGATTCGTATTATTTGATTCTAAATTGTAAAAAAAAAGTCAAAGGGGAAAATAAAGGAATTCTGAACAACATGCAAAAAAAAATAAAAGCACGCCCACATCGAATCCCAAATAAATATGGCACATAGTTGGGGTATCATAATTGACAATACGGTATGGGAATTACTTACAATAATATTCTGTCTTATGTACGTGCTTCATCAAAAAATTATGAAGTTCCATTGTAAGATGAATTGTTGATAAAGAGGGAACTACATGTAGTGCTGTTTTTTGGGTTGCTAGCCATGAGACCAACTTGTATGGCACACAAGATTTTTACGTCAAAAAATTCCCCTGAAGAGCTGGATCCACTGTGTCCTTAACACATTTTCTTCGTCAGAATTCTGTATGTCGATTCGTATCATCCCCATGTCGTCTTAGGCATTTCTCACATTTTAAGTCCTTTTGCCTTTGAAGTAATCTTCTCGTATAGCCTCTAGCCTTTCTTGATTTGGTCCAATTCGTCACCTAGCCTATAGAGAAGCTATGCCACTTTATGCAGTTCTGAATTGATGGTGCTCCAGTATGCCTCAGCAGATGTTGGCCCTTTTTTAATTAAATTGTGCTTTTTTTTGTTGTTTGTTCAAGTTCTCTTGCTGTTAGACGGTATTGGAACTGAAATTGTAGGTTGAAGTCAGCTTATCTTGCTGTGTCAATAAATGGCTATAAGTTTCTTAAAATCTCTGCCGAGAATAGAGAAGCAAAGACTGGTGTTCCTTCTCACTTTCTTCTCTTGCTGCCATTTGTTTTCTCCCTTTCATTTTTTCTCTTTCCCTTTTTCTAGTATCATTATTTAATGTTCCATGAGAAACTGTCTCGAAATGATTAGAAATTCAATTCATCTTCACATGTACGCATAACCAACCGTATGGTTGTTAATTATGTTATCCAAAGTCTAGCACGTTCATCAATATCTACTGGTATTAGAACCATTTATACCACCGATAAAATCAGATGCCACAGAATCTTTTTCGTCAGTATTCCAGAGAATAAACTGTTCATCAATAATCTTTTTCGTCAGCATTCCAAAGTCTTAGATACGTGCATGTGTTGGCTGTGTTTGATGATTCTGTTTACCGTGAAATTTGTACCTTAGTCATGTTGAAAAGTATAATGTCTGTAATTTTGGGTGAACTATTTTGCCACTGTCAAACATGTCTAGAAGGACTCCCCCCCCCTAAATGGCAATGCTAGTAATTACCAGAGGATTGAGAAGTGTACCCTCTTGGGTGTATTTCCATTTCAATATGTTTGACGACATTCAACTTTCAATGTCGGGCAGTGTGAATGTGTGGATCGGCCTGAAGGAGGAACGGTTGATGATGACGGGGATGCACACTGTTTCCGACTTATTTTGTGCGGGCTGTGGCTCCCTTTTGGGTTGGAAATATGTATGCACTTTTGACCACAGTTTTGTTTATTGAGCCAACCCCTCTTGTGAGTGTTTGACGTTTGCACTATTTTTCAGGAGGTTGCTCATGAGAAGAGCCAGAAGTACAAGGAGGGGAAATTCATCATTGAGAGGTGCCCAGAGCTTTCCTCCCTAATTCACCTTTTCTTTCATACGGAAGTAGACGTGCAAAACTTCTACCCTGCTGTTGTGTGGCGTGTTCCTGTCATCAGGGGCGCTCATCTATGGAATAGACCAGTAAGCCGGGGACTTGGTGTGGTCAACCCTGGTTACCCCCGTGTTTGACACCGGGGCACAAGCCAGGATTGTCCACATCCTCCAAGGACGCAGGATCTCTAAAAAAGGGGTTTTATTTCGTTTGTCTGGCTGTTGTTAACAGTTTAACAAGCAGCGGTTGTGACGATTTCCTCCTTTATGGTCTTGGAAGCAGGTTTAAAATGTTAATCCCGGACGGCACAGGCTACTGGGTGAACCAGGACTCTCGGATTGGTGGAAGTGACGCAGAGGATGCGTGAACTGCCGACCTAGTGCATATGTTCCTCTCCGTGTGGAACGGATTCGAAAGGATTTGTCAACTCGGTACACGCTCGGGGACCAAGTTCTGCTCAGAAACGATGATTAATAAATTAATACACTGTATATTCCCTCGGTGTTCGTCTGCCATGGCTGATCCTAAGTGTAGGCGCCATCGTTTATGCAGTCCCTGTCTTGTGTGGCGAAGGTACCCTCCCCCCGCCGGGTGTCTTACCGAATGTCGGCATCGATCGTGTTCGCCGCGACAAACATTTGACCTCCCAATGGTTGCAGTCAGGTCGTACTACGTGCGAAGCGGACGGAAACATCACCCTGTTTTCCGGACGGAGTCACTGGAACCTTTCTCCGCTGCGTTCAGGCTTGTGCGAAGCGAAAGCCCGTTTCAGAAGGCACGAGCCTCGATCCAGACACCCGAACACGTGAGCAGCCAATGCAACACGATCGAGTTGGAATGAGCTGATGGCAGCTCTCCGAAAGGCAAACCTGTTCTGATTCGGCTGGTATCTCTTTGAACTGGGCTGTGATCCGCAATGGAGCGCTTGGGAAGCGCCAAAACGCCTGGTCTGATAAGAGGGTTGTTGTCCGATGTAGAGTTGACTACATCGGTAATTGGCAACGACCCAAGTATCCTGATAAGCAAACACGGATAGGCTGGTTTAAGACGTTCAAAATGTCCCTACACACACTTAACGTGAAGAGATGCTTTTGTACTATTTATTTTGTTCAACAAAAGAATCCTTCCTGCGTTCAAACAGCCGGGGCAGCTCAGCCTCCACTTCAGGAATCAAGAAAAGCCGGACTGCCCGAAGCGGTGAAGGAGAAGGGCAGAAACTTTTATGCCTTGTTTGTGAGAGATCCGACGACAGCAGCGGCGAGCAGCGGCCCTGGCAGCATTAACCTGGGGATTCTGTTGACGCCAGATTCTAGTTCAAGCCAGGCCCAAGCCGGGATATTGACATGCATATATAGATACATACATGTGTGTGTGTGTGTGTGTACGTACGTACAAAATATGGAACCGTGAGGAGGGAGAGTACAAATCTCTCCTCTGATTGTCCACGTGGAGACAATAAGAGGGTTGCCGACGGAACTGATAATCAGGGACGGCAAAGAAAGGCATCCACTACTAGCTTCGAAAGTCACTCCCTCATCTCACAGCGTGCTCTGAGCGGACAAGTAGAGGTTACCACACTGGGCACATACAAACAAAGAAGAAACATTGCACACCCCATCCAACACTTAGCTCTACTCAACCGAAGGTAAACTCTCCGGACAGGCCGCCCGCTACCCCACTGGCTACTTGCTCCAGCGATCGGGTGCAGCGATCAAAACTTCCCCATTTCTAACGACATCATCATCGCGCTCTTCAGAGAATTCACCCGGCGCCGGTATGGCAGATGGTTCCTCCTCTTTTATCTTTTGGTCGTCCGCATTCTCCCACTCTCCTGCAACGATGATTGTGTTCGTGGTTTCCCAGGTCCGCAAGATTCTGTCAGGACCCGGTTGCCATGCGAGCTTCCCAGATAGCTCTCGACGCACAAACTTGAACTTTATCTCTTCCTCCACCGGCAACCCCTGATGCAAAACAGGACACCGAATATCATCAGCTTGTCGGGCGGCAGTACACTTCCGTTTGCAAATATGAGAGTGAAGGGTGAGTTACCATCTCGGTTATCCACACATGGCCATCCGACCATTCCAATGGTATGGCGTTGGCGACGTCCCACTGACCAAGGCTGGTGCCCGCTCCAAGAAGGAGGAATTGCTCGCCAAACCGGCATGACTTCTGCAGCGTAAACTTCACCTGAACAGTCTTGGGCAGATCTGGTAGACAGGGCAAAATATGTTAAGACTTTTAAAAAGATGTCTCGAGACTGATTATTAAGAGAGGAGCGTGCAATCTCACTCGGGGATTTAGCCTGGACTGGGATGGCCTCGGGCATTGCGATCGTCTCCCCTCCACCCTCGGGAGATCCAGGGTTTTGAACTGGTTCCAGCTTCTGAGCTTCTGCGACCGCCTCAAGTGACTCCACCGGTGTTTGACGATCGGCCACTTCCAGCTTCTGCGTCTCCCCTCCACCCTCGAGAGATCCAACGGCTTCTCTGTTTTGAACTGGTTCCAGCTTCTGAGCTTCTGCGACCGCCTCAAGTGACTCCACCGGTGTTTGACGATCGGCCACTTCCAGCTTCTGCGTCTCCCCTCCACCCTCGAGAAATCCAACGGCTTCTCTGTTTTGAACTGGTTCCAGCTTCTGAGCTTCTGCGGCCGCCTCAAGTGACTCCACCGGTGTTTGACGATCGGCCACTTCCAGCTTCTGCGTCTCCTCTCCACCCTCGAGAGATCCAACGGCTTCTCTGTTTTGAACTGGTTCCAGCTTCTGAGCTTCTGCGACCGCCTCAAGTGACTCCACCGGTGTTTGACGATCGGTCACTTCCAGCTTCTGCGTCTCCTCTCCACCCTCGAGAGATCCAACGGCTTTTCTGTTTTGAACTAGTTCCAGCTTCTGTGCTTCTGCGACCGCCTCAAGTGACTCCACCGGTGTTTGACGATCGGCCACTTCCAGCTTCTGCGTCTCCTCTCCACCCTCGAGAAATCCAACGGCTTCTCTGTTTTGAACTGCTTCCGGCTTCTGTGCTTCTGCGATCGCCTCAAGTGACTCCACCGCTGTTCGACGATCGGCAACTTCCAGCTTCTGCATCTCTGCAACACTCTTTGGCGATTCATACGCTGTTTGACAGTGAGCTTTGTCACTCGAACTCTCAGCGGAAGCTTTTGGCAATTCGTCCGCTGTTTGACTTTGTGCTACCTCATTCAGGTTCTCTCCGGCTGCCTTGGGCAATGCATGTGCTATCAGACATTTAGTTGCTGTCGCACTCTCTGCCGCATCGTGCTGTAAGTCGCCGTCTGCTTGCTGAGATGTAAAATCATTTTTTTTACTCCAAATGTTTGCAAGACTGCGATGTATTTAGGGTCTAGACGGCCGATAGCAGTTCAGCCCGTCCCTTCTTTTGACAAATCAGAGAATCGTAAGAAGGAAGGAAGAAGCTCAGGACATATAAGTAGAGACAATACGGCTATGGATGATGGTGACATATTTTTGGGCAAGACCCTCAGCATGAAAGTGGTTGCGGCATTACAGAGAAGGGGTTGTTTTGTGCCTACGTAAAATTACATGATCAAAGTAAACTTCTGAGAACGTAATTACCGTGATCATTGATCTGCTAAAGCTACGTGCATAAAATATAATTCCATCAAGTTGGAATAAAACTCTCCCTAAAGTCGCTTACAAGATGTACTGAGATTCAGACTAATCGACGAAAAAAATGAAGAAAAAAACCCGCAAGAAAGAAAAGAACGCCACGCACTTAGCCGTAGTATTTTCCCTTTTTTTGTTTTGTCACATGTATCTGCGAGATAAGTGATCAAATGACGGATTTCCAACGAATAATGAATTCGAATAATGAGTGCGTCGGTAAGGAAGAAAAATCGGGAGAAGGAAACTGAATTTTACGTAAATCCGGCTTTATACACCATAACCGGTGGCTTCATCCGCAACTCTAGTGAACAGAGAGTAGACTGGAAAGTAAAGGACGTCGTAGCGAGCATGCGGCGGATGACGATAAAGTCGCTGGAACATTTCAAAACGAGGTCCCTGGACTCCGAAAGAGTCCCTGCGGCGGGCGGGGGTGGGGCAGTCACCACTTGGTGCCAGAAAGCACAGGAGTGAAGAAAAAGGTTCTTCTCAGGAAGCGGGGGTCGGTCAGTCATTCAGGCTACAAGTGGATCGTCAGTCGGAGCAAATATACGTACTGAGGTGAGAAAATTATTGTAATAAATATACATGCCTCCGAAATCCCCTTTGACGGAAAGGTGGAGGCCGGTGGCCGCGGCCGCCCAAACGCCGAAGCAGCCGTCGTGTCTATGCGGCGTAGGAGGATGGGAGAAAAGAGCACAAGGTCAGTGCTTAGCCCAGAACATGAGGAGCGGATCCGGGGAACCCAGCACGAAGCTACCACTTTCCTCCTCTCTCCAGCCGAGGTCGTCCAGCCTCTGCCATCCGCTGCTAACGACCACCTCGCACGTGGGCAACCGAGCACCACCATTGCCGCTTCCACAGCTCAAGCAAATCTAATGAGAGGGAGAGAGTGAAGTATGTGACTTTGTGGGAGCGTTTGCCGGCAGAGCCAGACTACTGCACTTGTCGCGGCTGTTCGACGAAGTTGAACCGTCTCTCGTTCTCTTTAGTCATGAAGGAAGCTCCTCCGTGTCTGTTTCCGCCCGCTCATTGAGCAGCGTCCGCGTGGCAAGGGGATGTGACTGCCGTTTGGAGGCGACGGGCTTTTCTGTCTCCTCTTAATTTCGAGAAAATAACTACTCGAGAAAGAAAAAAATCAACGGTGCTAAATAAATGTGCTGCTTGGAGAGGGCCCGTGGTTGACGCGGGAGAACGCACATAGCCGGTCGGGTCGAGGCGGCGGGGCCGGGAGAACGACGGAGCAGATCCACGTGTTTTTGGCCGTGAGCTCCTATGATGTGCCCTCGTCTCCTACTGCTCGGCAAGCAGCTTGCTGGCTGTTGAGCCGCTTTGGAGGAATTTAGGACGATGATCTGATCGTACAGTGTCGCCGAGTGCGTCCGACTCGATCCAACTCAACCTATGTATCCTTCGCTCCATGTCCGGGCTTGAGTACCCCGCCTGGATGCCCCTAGTGCCAGATCCTCTCTCTCTCTCTCTCTCTCTCTCTCTCTCTGCGCGAACGAACAGGTAAAGTGGCTGGCTGGCACTGCAGGGCGAGATATGCTTAGGCGTTGTGAGCGGATGCGGAGGCAAGTGCGGACGCAGCAGCAAGCAGGGCACGGCAGTGGATGCCGGCCTGGCTAGAGAATTGTCTATGGGTTGAGCCCCGCCGTGTGTCTGCCTTGAAGCTCCACGACTCCGGTACCAAAGCCAGGCCAGATAGCTCGCTAGACAACTGAGCGAAATAACCCAGAATGTCTGACTGAATCAAATGGCCTAAAGCGGATCGGAAGTTTACTCGGCAACGTCCATACTTTATGAGGATATGAGCAAGAGCCGGATTTAGCTCCTGAAATAAATGGGCTTTAGGGCTGGACATGGACCAGCACCCATGACAACCCAAATAGCCAGATGGAGGGGCGTCGCTTTAGGGCTGGACATGGACCAGCGCCCATGACGACCCAAATAGCCAGATGGAAGGGCGTCGCTTTAGGGCCGACAACCAACAAACAGACCAACAAAGGAAGCAGTTCTTCGGCTATCTCATTGCTCCTTGGCAAATCATATTGGAACATTGAATATGAAGCCGCAAGCTTACAAAATTTCACGTTTTTCTTAGGTTATTTATGTCTTTGCTTAACATGTACGAAGTGGGCCGACAGACGTTCAGTTGACTAGGCTAGATCGACGTACTAATCTGCAATCAAAGATAGGCTCACTGTTTTTAAAGTGATCCTGACTTCTTTTACCTTCGTGTATTTATCAGAGGTTCTCACCCCCCCCTTGATTTCCAAACAAATAAAATTGACAGAATCAGTAAGTTCCCTTACAAAAGAAATTTGTCAAACTCTCAACATGAGATGTCAAAACACTAGCTTATTTCTCTTGGATGAGGACCATCAATATTTTGAGTGATTTCTTATATAAAAACAATGACAAAATATTTATGAATCAATCTTGAGGCTGAGTCAATATAATTTCATAGTTTTTTGGGTGTTTGCCTAAAGCTTGCACCAGAAAAGCCTGTAGATTTTTAGTGCCCACAAATCGAGCTGATGTTCTTTTAAGGTATGTCTTAAAGTTATTAGGATGGACTTTTCGTGTAACCTAAAAACTTGCTTATTGGAATTCAAATGATTAAGATTTAATTTCATTTCAATATAGACTTATAAAGCAGTTGGCGTAATTAACCTATGCATTCTAGATACCAGTCAACATGCGATCTTCTGTTTTGTTTTGTTCCTTCAACATGTCAAGATATATAGCAATTAATCGTGGATACTAAGACATGTGGAAATATGTCGTAGGGTAATTAAATTCTCGGTTCCTTCAAAAACAATATCTCTCTCTTGTAAAATTGGATTAACAAGTTGCTAGGTAAACTCATAAGTCACCACAATAAATCTCTTTCAAAAAAATGATCTCTTTAACTTAACTTAGCAAAAGCAATATATGCTCACCAAGTCAAGTTACCTAGGTTAACCACTGAATTAACCCACTCAAGGCTTAAGTCAATTTTTTTTCTGAAATATATATATATTTATTCTGATTTCAACTTTCTTCTTTTGAATCTTATCCTCACTTATTTTTTTGCAACTTTATGCCTCGAAAATATAATCAAATAAAAAAAATTATATATACCAAATTAGATCTTAATTCACACATTAATATAATAACAACTTATTTATGATCTCTTTTTTTATGACTATTTTTCAACATTAAAACATTTAAACTAACAAAATGAAGCCCTAGAGGAGACATGCACAACTCAACCCCACAAAGGTCTTCTCCCTCTCCCTAACCACAAGAGAAATCAAGGTCCTTGGGTGACAGCAACTTCCATGGCATTGAGAGCGACTCAAGCAGGAGAGAGAGCAGCAAATTGACACCAAATCGGACCCTAACAAAAACGTTACAAAAACAGCCATTAAACTAGGAAAAAAAGAGGGTGAAAGATTACAAGGCACAGACTACTCCTCGATGGAGAGAGAGCGACAGAGAGAGAGAGAGAGAGAGAGAGAGAGAGAGAGAGAGTACAGTGCATCCACAGTTTTACAACTGACGAAGAATGACATACATTAAAGTGATGCTATCCGTGTACTTGGAGACTAACAACACTCTAAGAATAAATAATCTTATAATTTAATGCATCACCTTGTGATATGTAATTGGGGATACGACACATCATTTTGCTGGGCATATTTCCTCCAAACTGCAGAAGAAGGGAAATTTTAGGAATAAATGTAGATGCTAAAATTATTGCACAAAAGGCAGAAACGACCTTGCTCCTAAGCTCTCAATAATATCGGTAGTGAGGGTTGCCCGTTTATTTTCTGCAAAGGCAAGAGATGCAGCTTTCCGGAGCAATGCAGAGCCAGCAATGCACCCCAAAACCATTGGATTTGAAGAGCTTTGTACCGCACCGCAGAGACAATAAACAATAGAATACAGTTTAATGCCATATACTAATAACCGTATGCCTCACTCAAAAAATCAGATGATTAGAAGTCGGAAACCTGAAGTTTAAACGCTCGCTATGCTCAGATATCTGTTGCCGCGCCCAAGAGGAAAAGACAGCGACACTGGATGCCACAGAGACAACTAACAATGAACATCTTGGAGAAATTCGTCCAAGCACATATGCCAGTCAACATGAGGAAAAAATGTAGGAAAAAGGAGCCTCAAAATGGGATAAGAGACCACGAGAAAGAAAGCCCAAGAAGCTGGAAAGAGTTGAAGACCGAACAGAAATTTAACTACCTGACAGCCTAGGTCAACCAGAGAAAAACCTGAGCCCCCCAAAAAAAAAAACGAAATTGACGATTAGATGTTTTATCCAAATCATCACAAAACCTTTCGACAATAGTTTCAATTGACAACATTGTTGAGATGCAAATTCCTGTCCTGGTCCTTTTCCTCACAATCTATATGGTCGTCAATGCAGTAGCGCAATCACAGTCTATAAATTGAACCATACTGGTTAAAATGCTAGGCTATGATGAGCTGCACAAAGGAAATGTCTTCTTGCAGTAACAAGCGAAAAATGTTATTTTCGCAAGTTTTCATGCACAGGAAACTAAAGCAAGAGCTATGAGCCAACCTCCCAGAAAGGATATCCCCTTGCCCGCCACAGCGCCGTGGAGATCCAAAAGCACTCACCACACTGACTGCAGGTAAAAAACATGGGGAATGAAGAATGTAAGGTCGTTGCAGCTGCAGTCATGAGTGCTCAAATTATATCGCGCAGAGAAATATAACCGTTTGACATTATAGTTGAAATTAATTCAGCTAATTATTAGAAAGATGAATCCATCTGTCAGAGTGGCAATCATTCACAGACATTGGAGTACAAATTATCACTCTGGCAGATGAAAAATACACGAATGGTTGTGTAAGACGATCTTTTAAACGCACCAGTTTCGCCATCACTAATAAGATCTGCATTGCCCTTTCGCAAGATTGTTGCTCCCCCAACACTGAACCAAAAGATACTCTAATATGAGTGGCAACTAAACCAAAGATGTCCATCATATGCAGATTTCAAGGTATTTACCTTCTAGAGAGGGATAACAGTTGCTCAGCAGCATCTTGATCATCAGCATTTCTACCAAGTACCTTTTCAACTAGACGTTTATACTCGTTCACGTTTGGGGTTAGGACGGCCAAAGAATACCCTGCGATGAGACCTAGGTTGTTGGTGACTAAGAAAAGCCCATCCTGCGTACATGAAAAATTACAACTATTTCAACAACTTGAAGCCTCTTAGTTATAGATGAAGTTGACACTAAATGTTTCACCAGGGAATACATACTCCGTCAACAACAATGGGGATGTTTGACTGCCTTGCATGCCTCATGATTTCGCTGATGCAATCCTTTATCAGAAAGTTAAGTATTACAGATTGAAAGCAGGAATAATTGAAATATGCAAAATATGCTTTATTCTTAATCGTGGAAAGAGAGGACGATATCATTTAATCTTAAGCAGGAAAAAGTGAGGAATCAAGTCTACATTCGAACAGCAGGCCTTGTTAAATGATTTCTTACGATAGGATCCAAGAAACTACCGAAGGGAAGTTGCAAAAGCAGGCATTGAAAGTCTAAGAGGAAAAAATTCCGTTCAGGCTAAAACCGTTATGTTCAGAAATAGGCTATACCAATAAAGAGAGCGTTTTTAGCTGAAAGAAAGTTTTTATCCAGAGATGTGAATTTCAATTCTGGATGCATTATTGATATATATCTTCCCCAGATATCAAACCAAAGTAGAGCGCATTTTTACATTTAGAGACTGAAGATGCCATTAGGTGCGTAATTTTCTTCACACACTGAAGGCGATCTTTAATCAGAAATAAGCTGCAAAGCATCACATATTTTCCTCAGATTAGCAGAAAAATTGTGATGCCAATTTATTATGTTTCCTCCAATGCAAAATTCTTATAAGAAATGAAACTATCAAATTTTAAGCCAGTTAACTCGGAAGAATCTCGAATTTGTAACTAACCATGAGAAATGCGTCCCTTCCAAGACCTGGGCCAACCACAAGGCAATCAAACCGTTCCATCCATTTTTTGACTTCAGCTACGACCAGACTTGAAACTGATGCTTTTTCATCCTCCCTGGATGAAATTATATCATCATACAATGACTCCAAGATAAATGAAGAACTTGGAAAGCTGTATATATTACCACCTTATACTATATGATTCTTCAAGCACAGGGTGCACGATCAACTCGGGACTGTAGCTTTTAATAACAGGTGCAGCATCCTTTGTACAAAAGACATGCGATAGATCTGCACCCTGCATGGCCGTCATAAAATGTAAATAAAAATACGCATGAGTGATCCATTATTTTACAAAACAGACACGGAGGGATATGAGAAAAGAGATACTAACAATTTTTAGAGCAGATATGGCAGCAAAATATGGAGCACCTGTGTATTCACGGCATCCACCAATAACAGCTATCTTCCCTGCACAAACATATATTTCTTGACAAGAGCTGAAAAAAATTGGAAAGACAAGGAATTCGTAGATGCCTTGAACTGATGTCATCAGTACAAACTAGATAGAACAGAAACTATGCACCTGGAAAATAACTTTCTTTTGAAACATATTAGATAATTGAATAAGCAAATCAGTCACATTTGTGAGAACAAATTACACGTCATCTGTTGATGATGATCTCAAGAGAGCCATGAAACTATATAAGTCAAGGAAAAATCCAGGTACAACCTTACTATCTTGGAAAGAATGCTTCAAAATAGTCGAAGGGACATATATTATTTTCCAATTAATATATGCTAAAGCATACACCTATACAGAACTCAACACGATTTCCACTCTGAGAGAAAAATCCAATATGTATCCAGCAATGTAAAGAGACCAATATGATAATTTCATTTTCCTAAGTAGCTGTCATATTATATTTTAATGGAAACTGGGCCACTATTGTTGCATCTCTGAATTGAAATTTCTGTAACTGAAATGAAATGTGCGTCACAGAAACATTTGCAATAAATTATTTTTTCACGCACAATACTTTATCAATGTTTATTTGAATAAGTCTTGTGAAAGCAATTTCTTAGATCGAATCTGTTCGAATTAACCAATTAAGAACAAGTCAAATGAACGTTGAAAGACTAAAAGATCATATTCCTTTTATCAGAAATGTTTCAGTCAGCAGCTCATAACTGGGCGCATTGATTCGTAAGAATGGGTGCGCATGACCATAAAACAAAAGGAACCGAAGTATATAACGTTAGATGGATAGTTGGCGGAGAAAATAAGACATTATTGTACCCAATCAAAAGATTTATATTGCTTTTAATGTTGTCTCCAAGGATGACAGGAATAAGTTAAACATTAACACGAGAAAAAAATGTCACCACGCTTCACTGTATCGAAAGCTGCTATCACTGAAGAGAGAACTATTTTTTTTCAAATGAGGGGAAAAGCCGAATGTCCCCACGTTATTTTTAATGGGGGTCAAGCAGTGACGAATGTCCCCGCCTTTTATCAATCGTAGCGCTCATTTGTTTGGCATTGCGGTGGCAATGCCCTAACTGCTCAAGAATTGTTAATTTGAGAAAAACCTCGCAGTCTACCCAAGAGAAGAAAGAGAACGTCTTCAAATGTTTGAAAAACAGTGGATTAACAGAAAAATCAGCACTGGACTGATCCAAGAATACATTTCAAAATCGGCATGCGGGAATTGAACGTGCTTTCACAAATCCGATACATCAGTTCCTAAAACAGTAGTATTGACCCCCACGGTTCGTCATCAGAGTGAAATCTTCCATGGGTCATAAATGAATGCTGGTATGAGTCATTGGTGCACAGACAGTTTCAGAATGATTGCATACAAAAGAGAACGACACCGCCTCATAAGAGCTAAGAATATAATTCCATGGGAGCAAAAGGAAGGCATGCCTGGATTAGTGAAAGAAACAAACAGAACCCGGCCATTCCCCTGGGATGGTGTCCATCGCAGCTTGTTGCCGGAGCAGAATTTTTTTCGCACATAACCTCTACCAATCCGATGGGAAAAGCCGCATCAACCAGTTGGCCTCTAGAGCCACAATCGATTGGATACAATTTTCTCTTCATCTATCCCTTGATTATGCTTCTCCCCGCTTGATCGAATGCGAAGAAGAAATGAAAGTTACACCCAAACGCGTACAATTCCACAGACGAAATCTCACCTGCCTGGCCCTTATGCAGACCCGAGTCCAAAGGTGGAGTAATACGCTTTAAAATGCTGCCGGCGTCAGCCTCTAGTCCGAGACTACTCAAATTCGTCACTCCTGCCGCCATCCTTCGGGAGGAAGCCGACCCCCTGACCCCTCCCAGAGACCTTATCAAGAACTGATGCCTCCGAGAAACAGCCGAAGCCGCAAAGTTATGACTGCGGGCGACAGACGAGAAGGTGTGCAGAGGACACATCGTGTCAGTTTAAACCGAGCTAGAACTCTACGAGACCACAATCGTGCCCCGCGCATCAGCGAAGAAACGAAGAGGATAACAGAAAATGAGAGAGGGAAGAACTTATTTGGATCATCGCGGAAAAAAGGAAAAATGGATAGCACGAACCCGGGAGTTGCTTCGTACGCTTAGCGGGCACAGCTCGCGGACTGATGTATTCCCTCGATCCCAACCACAGAGACGATCGCTCTCTCTCCCCTTTCTCGTAAAACGTTGAGGTGATGAGTATGCTACCTCGATGGCCGTCTGATCCTGATGGCCGTAGTAGGGTCAACGGCTGCGGGGTTCGTGTGCCTTAGGATTAATGGGTGTGTTGGGAGGAGCACCCACCGAAATAGTTTCCACCTCGTGACTAAGATGGGGCTCGCCAGGAATGGCATGTAGACGTACTGCAGAGAAAGATAAATTGGTTTCGGCAATCCTCGGATTTGGGACGAAAATCCCACATTTTCTCCCACCCCGTATGCAAAATTATTCTCATTTACGAACATGGTGAGAAAAAGAAAAGAAGGTTTGACGTTGCTTATCTTGCGGAGATGATGGATAGAATGCAGTTCTACCCCACGGCGACGGTAATAAGCTACCTCCACGACGAGGTTGCCGCAGGTCGATACAGCTGTTGCGTCGTAGTCACGAATAGTTCATCATCAAGAAGAAGTCAGGCTTATCAAGGGGATCTAGTCGGTTTATTTTGGATCAGTCTTATGAAAGCAATTCCAATGGATTGGGCTCTTGCTTTGTTCGTTGAACGTTTACGGCATTGCAAATACCGCACGCCAACAACTGACGCAAAGTGACGGATGCCTCCATCTATTTGTTAATCGATGCGGGAGATTTTCCCATAATCGGATCCTTCACTTAACCATGAACGGCATTTGCACTGGAAAACCGCGTATGACCCAAGTTTTCCTCTGCTTCCGGAGTGGCATCCCATCCGGGTATCAGTAGTTCGGTTGTGTGGGAAAATGTGTCGCTGCTCGCTTACAATTTCGTACGCGTTTCTTTGTATTTGTTCAGATTTTTTTAGTTCCGAATTTTAGGCTTATTTTCCGACCAGAATTCAATGTGATCAGCGGGTACTGGAGTCAATTGTTTGACTATAGAGTATGTCTTGTGGATGCATATGAAGCCTTCGATTCGTGCAAACAGCATGCCCCTGAACCTCACTCAGGCTGCTGGTGGCCACATCTGGACATTCTTCGTTTGCCTTTCCCGGATATCTGGTCGGAGCTCCAGCACGTGTTGGACTCGTCGCTTCAATTGATATCAATACCGGTCTAGACCCATCACAGACTTCCATCCTCCAGGTACTCTTCTTTAGAGGAAAATACACCTTCAATCCTTTTGGGGTCTCATGGGACACCAACCCTCTCTCCCACCTCCGCCCTTTTTGGGGTTTACGGTAGCAATGAAGCCGCACCCACCAGCCAGGAGCATCAAGAAGCGTAAGGGAGGTCGGGTAAATGAAGAAATGGGGATAAGATTAGCCCATCTGTACATCACTGGTAATCGGCTGCATGCAAGGACACGCTTTAAATGAATGAGTAGAAGCTACATCGTTCATCTGAGATGTGCACTGCAATCTCTCGACCGAAGGAAAGACAGCAACGTCGGAGAAACGTAACCATGGCCTGAGTTTTGCGGTTGCTGCTGTTTATGGTCTCACCGGCATACTTGGCCGGCCAGTCTCGAACACAAGTCGATTGAGCTGAGGATACGGAAACAGCATCAACAGACAAATTAATTCATTCTGGGGTAAAAGTATAGGCGCCCCCAAGCAGCAGAAAATTTCCACCCACTGAGCAGATCCTCGAAAGGCCTCACCTCTCGGTCGATGAAATCCCTGGAAGAGCGCGGCCTCCTCAACGGAAGAACAGTAACGAAAATGGATTGTCTCGTTCAATGTCTACTCGAGGCAATGCCGAAAGAATCTGATTCCCTGCCATCTCCAAAATGTAAGCTGACCTCCTGATGAATGCTAAACGACTTGATAATTTAAAAGTAATGCACACAATCTGTCCCACCTTCAGAGAAAATGCTACATCTGCTCCGTCAATTGCTAGCGCTACCGTCCTTAGCTTCTCTTCGCGAGAATTCCCAAGCTTGACAAGTCCCTGAATTCACAAGAAGCAGACTCGGTAATCTGAGGATCAAACTAGAACACCTGTACATGTTTTATTACTGCGTTCAGACTTTCACCTGGTCCGTCAGTACTCTACACATACTCGAGAATTCCATCATGCCAGCCGCTGTGACTTGTGCAGACCTGCAGACCTCCAAGTATGACTTGTTCAGCTGCACTATGAAGCAATGTAGAATAGTAGTGAGTTGCGTTCGAAGGGTACATATAGAATTCGTGACTCATGCATGCATAATTTGCGATAAGAGTGAAGCATCTACTGCTAGCCACCAACATAGATAATGGTCATAGAACCAGCATGAGAATGCTTGGCCCTACCGGTGTTCAAGAATCCAAAACATGCTTATGACCATATGTGCAATTCCCGCTGAAGGCACAAAATTCTGCATTCTCTTTTACCACTTGGCTGTTCACTAACGTTGATACTACGTCCGGAAACCTAAATTATGCCCGAATTACCAAATATAAAAAAAACCAAAACTTACATCCCCAACTGTCGAAGTCTTCCTGCTCCTCAAAAGCCTCACTAAAGCACACAATATTATCTGAAGCACAATCAATTTTAGAAATGTAAGTTATGTCAGATAGAATGTAGCACCATCTGGATAAGCGTTTATAAGAAAATCTTGAAACAAGTTCACAAAAACCCAAACTAATGGATGAGAATGACATAGAAGTGAGATAAATATCGGAAAGAGTGAGCAGAATAATTATTATGTTTAGGTCCGACTGGGCAGTGGAGAATGAAAGAAAGCAGAATAATTATTATATTTTCACCAGAAGATGAATTCCAGAAAGACGTTCTAGAAGCAAAATAAATAAATAAATACATTCATGCCTTCAGTGTTCGCATATTCTGAAGCGAGAAGCAGACATAATAAACGTCATCTAAATAGACTTCTCCAAGACATTAGGTTCCCAACGTTATATTTTTAATGACAGTTAGAGCGGGAAAGTAAAGAAAATCGTCCACTAAGATAAGTCCCACTCCGATAAAATAGAGAGACAACTACATGAGGCCCGTATGAGAGTTACCCCATTGGACTTTTAGGATTCATCGTTCAAAAAAATGGTAACTATTCCAACGCTCAACGATGCACATCTATTTTTCTCCAACAGAAATAATTACTCCATGCACAACACTAAATCTCAAAATTAGTAAATAAATAAGCTACGACATTATGACATATAACTACCTACAAGAACCGCATGAAGGAGGAACGAAGACACAAATGGAAGGAAGCAAATACCACTATTACTGTGTGAACTAAACATCAGTCAGGAGGATATCAATGGTCTATTGAGAAAGCAACATCGAGGCATGCGCCGTCTAATGAGAAGACAGAAAGCAAAGGCAGACATTTACAAGTCACGCAGGAGACTGTACACAGACAAGTATCCACAACAATTTCATTTAGACGACAACACAGAGGCAACGAGGCATCCTCAATTTTAAAGTATATTTAAAATAAATTGACGACGGCTAGAATCATAAGAAAACCACTAGAATTAGAACATCTCTTCTAAAATTACCTTATCCTAAAACACTAAGTTTCAGCATAAAAAATAATACGTAAATTACTTATGGAACTACACATTTATCAATATATAGCAATATATTAGGCCTGACAAGCAGCTAAATCCCTCGCATTAAATCCCTTCGAGTCCAGCCAAATGTCTTGGAAAAATTGCCAGATTAGAGGACATTTGCATGAATGATCGGGCACAAATCCTTGCGTAAAAATAAACGCAAGCACCAGCTGATATTTGCATTTACAAAGTCTGTACGAGATCGTCTAGGCAGCCTAGGCGCTGTTGGGCATCCGGACAATCCTAACAGCAAGAAGATTGGCAGACAACTGCATTAGGCACGCTTAAGGGGTGACCTATTGGCCCTAAAAAATGACCACACCAGATTTAGACACACATTTTTTACTGCAAAAGCTACGGCTCTCAAGCAAAACAAAAGAGAAAATGAGCAAGAAAATGGTCACATGGATCTGGCAAGCAAAATATCGACGTGAGATCAGGCAACGACCCAAATGAAGCGAAATATATTCATCCGTTAGATTAGAATAATTAGATGAATTACAATGATCTATCTGGAATCATAGAGCTTACCTGTTGATGTTGTGGTAGAGACTGAATAGTATCTACTACTGGTGCTCTGAATGCCTTCGATAAAGCGTTATCCATATGATCAAAGCTCACCTAAAATGCAAATTGAAAGGATTGCTAATAGTTATGCAATCATTTTATAACGTAACATTTACCTCCATGTAAACTGAAATAAATTAACTGATTTACAATTTACTTTGCTCCATGGTCCTCTGTTCACAATTTACTTATCTTGTTCACGCTTACCTAACAGATTTTTTCTGGCGATTGAAAAAGTTAAACATGACTGACATTACTGAGATAATGCATTAGCATAAAAACATGCACCCGTTCAATGTCTAGGTACAAGGAATTCAAACATAAGAACCATTAATATTGTGAAGTCTAAGTAGTCATCACTCAGAAACATTAATTAAAGCTTGATTTGAAGATTTTGTATTTTAACATTCCATCTGACAGTACCTTACATAAAAATAGAATAGTTCTTTCGTGTTGTTCAAATTTTCAGAACGGGTACTCGTACCAACTCTGCTGTACAACTATCAGCAAACTCTTGCACACGGGCATTACCCATAAAGAAACAGGAGCATGAATAAAGAGTTTGTTAAAAGGAGAATGTCTCTATATAATCTACTTTGACTTAAAAAATGTCAATGAAACGACTTACCATTTCTATTTTACTCCCTGTTGTATCACACTTCAACTCTGTTTCAAACTTCTCAATTGCACTTCTGGAATGATAAAGGATTATATGTTATTTGATGTCAACCGACATTGAAACAAAGACACAGAAATTGCAAAAGTTTTGGTTTAGAAAGAATAAAGTGGCCTTCATAAGAGCCTCCATAAGCTTTGTTCATGAATACGTAGTTGAAGTGTTACAAAGGTATCAAAGCATTTTCATATGTTAGAAAGGTATCAAAGGTATCAAAGAGGCTGTTTTTCTATCAAATCCGGGGAAAAAAAACTTTTTTCCATTCTATCTATCCAGTACTCTGGGAAAATAAAAGAACCAGCGGCAGATTGTTGGAGGTACACTGACAAGGTTGAGAAAGACAATAGAGGCCTTTCTTCAAGTAACGGAGAGATGTCTAAGACGTACATTAATTCATCAGAAGCACATTTCTAGTACCATACATTATCAAGGGGAAGAGAAGAGAACATAAAAGCATCATCAAAGAAGATCCACTCTGCTTATCATGTACACCTTTGTGAGAGCATAAAAAGAACACCAAGATAACGGAATCAAGCAAAGTGGGACGCAAATGGAATAAAACAAATAAAGTATAATAAGATTTTTGAAAAATTAACTAAAACTTGGCAGAAAAATCAACATCATTCTATTGACTTTTTATGAGTCTCTAGATAGAACTTAAGGCAAATAAAATACATTTGACTATAAAATATAGAATACTTACAGACACACAGAAAGAGCTCTTCTCATGTCTCCTGATGCTGCAGCAACTTTCTGAAATATGTTACTTGTGGTCAGAAAATGTATTATTTGTTGATATTTGTACAAGAGAACATGTGTAACATCGGTTGGTCGTGCCTGAACAACATGGTACTCGTTTAACCCTATTTTAATAACATGGTACTAGACCAACAATACTCAAATATTTCCGCCAAATCCCCACAAACAAAGAGTATTGTAGAAGAATACAACAAGCTACTTTTAGCTGAAAAAGGTGGAACATAACTAAATGTGGATTGACCCATCCTCGACATGTTGCATTTAACCTTCACAGCAATTCACTAATTCTAAAATAATAGTCCCCTGTACAAAGAAGTTGAGACTGAAAATAACAGACAAGACACAATGGCAACAAACTTTATCGATGCTTCTTTGGAACAGAAACACAGCTACTGTTCAGTAGATATATTAAACAGATAGTATATAAAAGATGGTAGATAAAGTCTTGACTCACTCTTGCACAGAACTCAAGCGCTAGAGGCTCAAACACGTCATACCCAATAGCCTATTGACAAAAAAAAAAAAAAACAGTAATCGTCGAGTTTCGTAATTTGATTAAAAATTAGTAAAATTAAAACCCCCAATTAAATAGTCAAGAAAACTACAGCTACATACCATGATCCTGTGCTGAAGAATTTTAAGTATCTGATCTTTGTTGTAAGCACGAAATGTTACAACCATGGGCTTGCCTAGCACCACAAGACACGAGAACCACCATATACAAGTCAGCTACAGATCTAAATTAATGAAACAGGGTCGAAGAATCAACATATTTATCGTAGACTTGCGATCCAGCTTGAGAAGGGAACCATCAAAACTATTAAGTCCTTTCATGAACATTAACGATCTGGATATAAAATGTGAAAACAGTGAGATGGAAGAGTAACTAACAATTCAATGATTCGAGCTTAGGGAGAAACCGATCAGCCAGATCTATCGCATTCGCTATTCCTGTAGACGTGAAAAAAACCAAAGATTTCAGTTTATGCACCATCTGCTTTACGGTCTACTGGTGAGTGTTTGGATATTTAAATACTTGCGTGATTGGTCTCACTAATGGAGTTTCAGATTTTTATACTCGTTACCTATTAGAATGAACCGTGAGAATGGATAAGTTGTGAGCATGAAGAGATCGTGAAGAACAGCACGGTCCTTGGTGATTAAGTAATCCAACTCATCCATAATAACCAGCCTGACAGAAATTACTTCAAATATTATGCAAGCATACAATTTAATATGAATACAGAGGTATACATTACCTATATGTGAACAGTATATGTATCTTTCTAAAAAGAATAATAGAATTCTAGCTTTGCGTACACTGCTCTTTCGCAGATTGGTTCTTTCCTCTGTGAAAATGAGTCCCTGAGATGCTGTAGGGGTGAAGAGGCGCCATTCACCTTTTTTAAATGGCATTTCTCTAGAATCTGCAATAAAATGTAAAAAGTGTTCAATTATCTGATGCAGGATCTCTCAACATTGTTAGAACTAAAACATGGGAAACTACCTTGAGGAAAATTTCAGAGGTCGTTGTCAGTGAATTACAGCTTATACTCAGTGTGACTGGAAACTGAAACCCCACCTGAGAATAAATCCAAGAGCATCTTGATTTAAAATTCAATGATACGGCAACAAAACGCAAAAAAGTGTCGATCAGGAATGTCAACACGAGGACGATCGGTAGTTCAATTTCGTGTCGGCCATCTGAAGGAAATGTTAAGAACTAATTTGCAGTCGGTATCAAAATGCCCGCCACTTCCTGATTAATATGACCATGAGAGCTTACTATGTACGAACAGGTCAGGAAAACGTTGATGCACCCGTGAAACAATGCTGTACGGCGAACAAAAAAAAGTGAACAAATTGGGGAGGGGATCCGAACTTTTTCATAAACTCGTTTCAGTATGTTTTATCGTCTGTGTTATTTCGTTATCCTTGTTTGTAACATATACTAGAGAAGCCCCCAGATTCAGATGAAGATATCACGATTGAACGTTGACAAAACAAAGAAAACAGCTGAAAAATAGTAACTGTATGGGCAAAAAATATATTGTGCGCCTAAAATATTTTTTATTTTAGAATGCATATGATTATCGTTATCAATGTTTTTGGCTAGGTGCCTTGAGCTATTTCAAGATATAACCTCTTCTTGTTTCCTTCATACTGCGAATAAGACCCTCACATATCTCCGTCAGAAATCTCTATATCGGATCGATATCAATGCCATATATTCGATCCGAATTCAGTTAAAACAAGTAGTGCATGTAATTTGACTCTCCTGACGTTCGCTCCTCCGGAGAAGACGCTTCGTGCAACGAGGGCACGCGTGTAAGGGACAAAATCTAGCCACACTGCCAAAAGTACTACTAGTAAGGAAAAAGATTGCAGGCGATGAAAAAAGAGAGAATACGGCTTGCCTCCTTCGTCCATGCCCCCAAGAGCTCCTTCACTCTTTCCATTGACAACGTCTTCCCCGTCCCGGGGCATCCACAGACGTACAGGCTCCCACCTGTTTCCTGTTCTATACAGGTCTTACAGAATTCGAAAATCCGCATCTGCTCGGAGTCGCGGCACACGATTGTTGCGGGGGGCGAGGACACGTGGAAAGCCTCCTTAACCGCGTTCATTTGCCCCGGATCTGCAAGATGTATCATACGCTGAGGAATCGCTCCGAGCTAGAGCAGTTACTGAAATGAACAGAAAGGCGACAAACACACGAAGCTGACTGGTTATTCCGCCGATGACTCTAAGAGAATTGAACCAACCTCTAGGATTCCATCTGTTCTTCTGAGATAAGCCGGCGAACAGCCGCTTCATTGGAGATTTAGGGGAACAACAAGTGACGACGGCATTGGTCGTCTTAATGACTCCCTGCCAGAGGCGTTAGACTCGTTAGACTGGGAGGAACGGTAATGATTCCGATTAAAACAAAATGGAGGCGAACTAGCAGCAACGAGACTCGTCACGAACATTGGCATCGGTCTCACTAGCAGCGCGTCGTAAATGAGGCGCCCACTTCTCTGGGGAAACGGGGCTGGCGGGGCTCGCCGGAGCCGGCTCATCGGACCTCCGCCGCTTGCCGCTGGGCATGGGCGTGGCATTTAGTCGACGCTTCGTCTCTTCCGAATTGAAGAAGTCTCCCACCGGTTCCGCGACGGCAGCTTTCCTCCCTTGTCTGTTCGCAGGGCTCTTCGCCATTCCTCCTTGGTGGAGCTCGTCCTGATTGTGTGTAGAGGGACGAGCGGGCGAGACAGATCGGGGCAGGGGAAGGGGGAGGAGGACGGAGCAGTTCTGGGCGGGAAACGGGAAGGCGGGAAGCGGGGATTTTCCCGCTCAGCCGTGAGGAAAACAGGGGATACATTGGTATACGTACGGTACACGTGAGGGCAAGGCAGTCTTTTCCTTCTGCGTTACCTCCCGGGGGGGGGGGGGTTGCGCTCCAATCATTTGAAGCCCGCCAGCTTTGGAAGCCCGTGGTCTACTCCTGGGAATTGATCTGTGATCTCAGCTGGACCTCACTCGACGTAAGAGTAGTAGTCTTCTCGCTGCAAGCGCCCCGGCAGAGTCGGCGCGAAGAACGATTGAAACGGGCGGCCAGGGGGAAGGGAGGGGACGTAGAGGCCTTTTGATGGATGGATGGATGCATAGATGGATAGATGGTTAGATTAAAACCGACGGGATCCTTAATTCTTCCCGAGGCCGACGTCCCACCGTCGAAGGGCAGGCTAGATTCAAGGGGAAAGCGGGCCGCGCAGTACGCAGTCTGCCGTACGCTGCTAGCAGCGAGCCCAGGCCGAGAGATTGCTCGGGTGGACTGCGTATATCCGTCCGTCTTTGCAGACTGCCGTTGGCCCGAGCATCGCTCGATAGGCAGCCCTAAATAATAGCCGCCCGGGAGAAACGAGGTGCCCTTTTCCCCCTGCTCCCGAAAAGCCGAGGGCAGCTCATTAATGATTGCCTGTTGGGCGCGTTGCGATCCAGAGAGGGAACGCTGGAGATTTGACGGCCCCTCCAAATTCGATCGCCGTGGCCGAGACGAACAATGGCCTTTCCGGATGGCACGCCCTGGAGGAGGCCAGCCCACCCGGTGGCCGACCGAGGGAGAGGATCCAAGTGGCCCTTGGGAGATCTCCCCGCCTCCTGCGTACAGCGCCCTTGTCGCCCTTTACCGAGTACCCGTGTCGGAGGCGGGTTCCACCAGAGACGCTGGGGAGATGATGCCCCGGGGAACGAAGGCGAAAGGTACGAAGCACATGGCGCAACAGCGTTTCCGGATCGCTGAGACTGCAAAAGGACCTCATTCCTGTGGTCGTACGTGGATCGCCGGTGGGGGAGGCGAAAGCGACCGCACCTCCGTGGAGAATGCCGTAGGCTTGTCATTCCCCGTCCGGAGCAGGCAGTGAACGGGGACTGTTGCGGGTCGAGAAGACGACGTGTATAATGCCGTCCCTCCTGCAGCTAGGGCACGAAGACGATGACAGTTCCGAGGGGTGGAACGCTTCGGAGGAGGATTTTGCGCCGTCGTCCTGACGGTGGAAACGCAGGGAGGGGCGGCGGACGATATCACTGGATCAGCTGAGAAGCACCCACCCTTGAGTTTCCTGGAAAGAATCCCGCCCCAAGTATTCATTCTTCTTCGCTGACGAGCGAGCGAGAGAGAGAGGGAGAGCCCGTCCTCGTCGTCGCCTAACAGCGCCAGGTACTGTGACGACGGCCCCTGTGCAGGGACAAACACGCTTGCAAGGCAAACCATCGCCCATGTGTCGGAGCTTCGACGGGACCGACAACGGCGCCTTTCCAGCCGATCCCAACGGATGGAATCCGTCCTTATGGAGTTCAGGACGGCATGCCCACTCACTCCATGTGTATTTGCTCTTCAAGGGCTGGAAGAACCCAAAGAAGTGGTCGCTGTTAGGGCTCGCCGCGCGTTTGAGCGATCCCTCCCGTGTAGCCCCCCAACGGGGAAGCGACTAGAGACGAGTTTGGTTTTTGGGTTGGGATCCCCTCCCTCTCCATTAAGGCCCCCCCGTGGTGAAGATTGAGGATGGGACAGGCCGCCACTGTTTCCCGAGCCCGACGAGAACAAGGATGACAGGATTAAGACGGCGTTTGCAGAAACAGTTCCAGGGGGGCCGCCGGAGGACGTCCGGCATCTCCTTCAGTGAGAGAGATAAAGGGAATGAGTGAGGGGAGGCATCCGCGTCCCTTCATCACCCTGCTCTGGCCCGCCCCTCGTGGTTTTCCAAGAGAGGCTGCTTCCGTGCAGCATGGCATGTGCGCAGCCCGCCGATGACTCGCGCCGGTTTAATGGCCCTTGGATTCACGTCTATGGCGTTTCTAAGGATGCGGAGCAGCAAGGATCGAAGAGGCGCTCATCTTGTCTCAATCATCCATCCGTACTGGTGAGCCAGCTGCAGGAATCGGCTGTGACTGCCGGAGCGTCGACGGCTGCCGTTTAAGGACGGCGTCATGCGCGCGCGTCGAGGCGGGGCGCGATCCCAAAGGCACGTGTCAAAATACATGACAGAAAAGCCAAAAAGGTTACCAGACCGGTGTTAGGCGTTTCTCCAAAAACCAACGGTCGCAAGGCTCCGTCACCTGCCCTGCCGAGAAGCCTCCAGTCGCAGCGGAAGAACCCGGAGCCAAGGGCTCTAATTCAGACACCTGTCATCCTGAACGCGGTGCGAGACACGCGGAGGGCAGTTCCACTATGCCTCAACAGCCCACATGGGATCTCGGCCCTGTCAAAATACGTCTCCCGCTCCGCGGGCTTCCCAAAAAGCCGCCGTCGTCCGTTTGCCAGACAGATTTCAGAATCTCAACGCGGGTGCAAGGGAGAATCCCACGCTTGTTCTTGTGTGCGTTCCTGTTTTCTCGCGCCTGCTGTAAGAGCGCCAGCAGCTCATGACGGCGCCGTCAACGCTCCTCCGGCCCACACACCCACAGTCAGTCAGTCAGTCAGTCAGCCAGACAGTCAGAACTCCGCCTCATCTCGCTCCGGTTCTACTCCCTACCGATTGCCAAAACGTCCGCTCGAGCACGCCGTCCAAATGAGTGAATATGCCGGCGCCGATCCGCTCGAGGCCCTCCTCGTCCCGACTCGATCCCTGTCGACCGCAGGGAGGGGCGTTAGGTCTTCGGCGCTGTGGGCTGGGGGAGGACACCGGGGACCATGTCGAGATGGGGAGCCAGGAGCACGTGGTGCGTACGTACGGACCTGTTGGCATTGCATGGGCTCGGACCGGCCAACTCCGGCGGAGCAGGGAAGAGTAGTGACTGATAGCAGCAGCACCCCTGCAAAGACCAGCGCTCCCGCGGAGTGTGCGTGCGTGTGTGTCTGGGGAGGGGGGAGAGAGATGGTGAGAGGGAGAGATGAAGGAAACAGGGGAGGGGCTTTCAATTATCCAGCGATCCAGCGGAAGAGGTGCTGCGGCTGTCTCCTCGTCATGCGAGGAGCCAGGGCGCAGCAGGTCCAGAGGATGGATGGATCCACGGCTCGGCGGGGCCAGCTCCTCGTTCCTCCCCCCCCCCCTCTCTCCTCCGCTTCCGTTGGCCGGAAAGGGGAAGCGCCCGGGTGGTGCATCGGAGCTGGAGTGATGCCGGCCCGGCGGGACCGACCCCCTCCAGGGCTCGTATGTATAATAAAGAGGCCTTGTACCTTAACAACGCGGTGTGCGCTTAAAGGCTGACTGACAGTATCGCTCTCAGGGTCTCGCCCCTCGAGAAATATATCTCCGCAGGGTGCTATAAATGATCGTTTTCAGTCACGTGTTCCTCGTACTACGGGTGACTGCCGCCACAAGAAAGGCCGCGCTTCCGGGCACGTGACCGTATCCGATGCACGTCCGCGGCTTCCCCGGAGAGCACCAAATCTTTTTATCGTCTTTTTTCCTGGAAATAAATAAATAGTCCCCACCCCCACCAACGTAGAGGAGCAGTAATGATTTAAAATAATGACAATTTGGATTCATAGTAACAATGCTAATTCAAACTGAAAGTGCTTATTCGTAATAATATTTAATATTAATAATGACACTGGTGAAGATGATCACAGAAATACTGTCTGCGACTACGATGAACTCGATGCGCTGCCGGTGGATGGATAGGCTCGCCCGGGTCGATTTCTCCTGCACCAGAGACGACACAGATGGGAGCGCCTGTATTGCAGAGCGACTGAGTGGGGCCTGCCCTGAGCCGCCCTGAGTTGTGGTGGCGGCCTCGGGTCGATATTCAGTACCCACCTCTCGACCTACCGCGGCGGCTCTGGAGCCCTCGCCCTCTTGACTCGCCGCCGCTGATGATGCCAGGGTGGATCCCTCCCCAACTCCCTCCCTCTCCCCCCCCCCCGTCGGGGCCTTCCTCTAATTGAACGAGTGACTGTCCTCTGGTAGCAGCCGAGGCCGCCGCCTGTCGGAATCTGACCGGGGCGCTCCCGATTCGCACGTGCTTCCCTCCTCGATTCCCACCTCTGCAATTTTCCTACTCCTCGATTGGGCTTCTCCCCATCCCCGCCCTCCCTCCCCCGCGCTTCCATTCCACCACTTCCTTCTCCTCGCCGTGACCACGTCACAATTCCGCCTCATAACCCTCGCCTGTGTCATACCAATCCATATTTTTCCGGTTTAACATCTCCCACTGATCTGCAAGGCCAGGATCACAGCGGCTACAATCCCTTTAGGTCATCCCTCCCCGTGGGGTTACCGGAGTTTCGACTTTCGAGTGAGGCATCTGCGGGATCTCTGATATTTACGTCCGTATGCTCGGGTTAAATTCTCTTCTTTTTCTCCGGTCTTCTGGGTTTCGTCCGATTTTGATGGGCACCTAACAAGGAGGCCTTGCGCTTCTCCTCCCCCATGTCCGACTGATCGGTCCCGAGTCCCTCCGCCTTCTTTCTCGATGGAGCACCGCGACCACAGCAGGACAGTGTGCCTTGGGATATCCGACGTCGCCCTGGAATTCGTCATGGGCCACATCGACGACACCAGGGACCGGGACGCCATCTCTCGGGTCTGCAGAAAGTGGTATCACATCGACTCCATAACCCGGAAGCACATCACCATCGCGCTCTGCTACTCCACCACTCCCACCCGCCTCTGCCAGAGGTTCCCCAGACTGGAGTCGCTCAAGCTCAAGGGGAAGCCGCGGGCGGCCATGTTCAACTTGATACCAGAGGACTGGGGAGGGTACGCTAGGCCCTGGATCAATGCGATCGCAGGAGCCTTGGACTGCCTCAAGGAGATTCACCTCCGGAGGATGATTGTGAAGGATGTGGACCTTGAGGTGCTAATTAGAGCTCGGGGGCCCAGGCTTGTCGTCTTGAAGCTGGATAAGTGCTCCGGATTTTCTACCGATGGTCTGAAGCTACTTGCCCGTTCTTGCAGGTATCCGCTTACCATATCATTTTTGTGATATCTGGTCCAGTGTCATTCGTAACATCTCCCCCTACTCATTCTGTCGGTTTGTTCTGTCTCACCTGCCTCTTCCGATGTGTCGGGGACAATCAACCGTGAGTTTGTACCCTGCACCTCAGAAGATTCTCGCGTTTATGGACGCTTGATGCTGAATGATTGTTACTCGAGCAAGAGGGAACATTTCGTGTCGTTGTACCGCCATCGTCCCAGTTGAATCCATGTTCTATTTTAGTAGTACAGTCACCCAGTTATCTGGGAAAGAACAGAAGTAGGAGTTGAAATCGGCGAGACTGGCCAGGAGCATGCGCCAGCGTTCCCGTCCGAAGAGTTCTTGGTCCGACGACGTTGTTCAACTTTTTCCCGGGTGTCTAAAGGTTATTTGCAACTTTTCGGGCTGCTGGACGCCGGAAAACTTCTGAACGGAGTGCTGCACCGGCGTATACTGAGGGTTGACTGGCGCTACAGGCAGGAGTAGCCGCCGTTTCGGGGCTTGTCAAGATCTATGCCCAGCATCTGTGTGGCACGATCGATTCGATTTGGGGCCGGGGGGAGAGAGGGGGGGGTGGGGTGGGTGTGAACGGAGATAGACTATAGAGGAGGTGGGACCGTGTCACTCCCTAATCTCCCACATTCATAGTTTCGTGTACTTCATTACTACCCAGTAGGTTTTGCGTTACCCTTTAGACGATGGCATGGCATTTGACCACATCGATCTTGCGCAGTTGCCTGAGGACCCTGTTTCTGGAAGAGAGTTCCATCACCGAGAAAGATGGTGACTGGCTACACGAGCTCGCCGTCAACAACAGTCATCTGGAGGCTTTGAATTTCTACATGACCGAGCTCCGAGCCATTTCATGCGACGACCTACTGCTGATAGCCAAAAACTGCAGGTTCTTGACGTCCCTAAAGATCAGCGATTGCGACGTCCTCGATCTCGTAAACTTCTTCCGTGCAGCTACGGCGCTGGAGGAGTTTGGCGGGGGTTCATTCAACGACCAAGGGGGAGCAGCGCACGGGTATCAGGTCGTCCGGTTTCCTCCCAGGCTTTGTCGTCTGGGTCTGAGCTTCATGGGAACGAACGAGATGCCAATAATTTTCCCATTTGCTACGAATCTGAAGAAGCTGGACCTGCAGTTCACGTTTCTCAGCACCGAGGACCACTGCCAACTAATTCAGAAATGTCCCGCACTGGAGGTTCTCGAGGTACTGTTCCTCCCGGCACCCTGCGTCTCCTCCCCCTCAGAGCGCCGTTCGGTTCTCCAAGTTATTTACTTTTTGGCCGCTCGGCGGCTGATGGATGATAAGCAGGTGAGGAACGTGATAGGGGACCGAGGATTGGAGATCGTTGCCGAGCGATGCAAGAAGCTGAGGAGGCTCAGGATAGAGAGAGGGGAGGACGAATACGAGGACGAGCAGGGGAAGGTCTCACACAGGGGCCTTTCGGCCCTAGCGCAGGGCTGCTTGGAGCTCGAGTACCTTGCGGTGTACGTGTCCGACATCTCCAACTCGGCCTTCGAAACCATTGGCGCCTTCAGTAAGAACATGCGAGACTTCCGGCTAGTGTTGCTCGACCGAGAGGAGAGGATAACGGAGCTACCGCTGGACAACGGGGTGCGGGCTCTCCTGAGGGGATGCACCAATCTGCAGAGATTCGCCCTCTACCTCCGGCATGGCGGGTTGACGGACACTGGGCTCCGCTACATCGGGCAGCTGAGCAGGAACGTCAGGTACATGCTTTTGGGGTACGTGGGAGAGTCCGACGGGGGCCTCCTGGACTTCTCGAGGGGATGCCCCCAGCTGCAGAAGCTGGAGCTGAGGGGATGCTGCTTCAGCGAGCGGGCGCTGGCGCTGGCGGTGCTGCGGCTGAGCTCGCTCAAGTACCTCTGGGTGCAGGGCTACAACGCCTCCCCCGACGGCGCCGACCTTCTGAACATGGCGCGTAGATTCAGGAACATCGAATTCATTCCCCCCCGGAAGCTCTACGTGGAAGATCCCGACCGGGGCACCGTGGCCATCGAGCAGCCCGCGCAGATCCTTGCCTACTACTCCCTCGCCGGCCAGAGGAACGACTACCCGGACTCCGTCGTCCCCATCCACCCCTCATAACGCGGCTTTTCTCTTCGATCACGTGTCGGCCGGCCAGCCCCGCCGGTGGAGACAGCTCCAGTCTTTCTACTTTTTTCCTGCTGCGTTTCCTCCTGAAATATCTATGTTTTACTTTCTATTCTCCCTCTCCCTCGTCCCCACCCGCCGCTTCTCTCGGTGTGGTTGATGTTCTCGTCGAAGCAGGCTTACGTCGGAAGCCACGCCGTCGGTCCCTGCTTTTGACGACTGCCCTCTCGTCTTTGCTCGTCGAGATCCCCGGAGGATGGCGGCGGCGTCGAACATCCCCGTGCATCGTAATCCTCGTTCAAAACCGCTTCTGAAGGGCGCTGCCTCCCTCTTGTCCTAGCGAGGTGGATGAACTCTCAAACTTTCGGTCGGGGGTGTCGCTGGGGAGGACTCCGAGAGACGCGGTCGGCCGGTTCACTACCAACCATTCACACAGGGAGGTAAGATAGGCTGGTAGAGGATGCTCGACGCCGATTTCGTGGAAGAATAACTAGACCATCCTGTTGAGATATAGATTATATTTCTATTGGACTCGATAAGATGAATTGACTATGGGCCTGCTGGGCCACACACTAGCCCAACGACCAGTGGACTGAGAGGGAGGCGAACCGTTTTCTATTTACCGTTATATTGAAGGTCATATTTCTAATGTCTCACGAGTTGAGAGAGAGTATAAAAACTATCACGATTTTGTATCTAGATATGATTTTACGAGAAAAATATAATTTTATCTCACTTACGTACACTCTCTCATTTGTTCGCCTTCTCTCCCTCGGCAGAGAATACGAAGATAGATCGGCTGATCTCAAAATTTCGGTGAGTTTTTTATCTACATTCTTGCCACATCTTCAATTTCATTATCTATTTATTTCTATCACTGGTTTTATCTAATAAGATCCTCTACAAGTGATATCAACAAGGTTAGAAGTGACATAGAAAAACAGTGAGCATTTTATCTGCAAAACATGACGTGACGGATCTGCTTGTTCAGTAAGGTTAGATGATTGATACATTTAATTTTGGTGAAGAGTGACGGATCTGCTTGTTCAGTAAGGTATTGATAAGACATTATATGAAAAGCAAAAGAAACCTAAAACCAACGACGAATGATAGTGAAAAGACCTCAAGTTGAGAGCAGTTAGTACCACTCAATTATCTTGTAGATAATGCTTTAGATAAAGATTCACTTGCTAATATTTGGACAGAATTTGGTAGTTATTTTATGCCAAAATATTTTCCAAATAAATTATTTCTTGTACAAAAGTATATATGGGCTTAAGACGAAAGATATAATTGATATTAAAATAATAAATAATTTTAGTGAGATCCTTAGCGATCTGTTGAAATTAAAGGTTAACTTTGGAAGATGAAGATAAGGCATTGATCCTCCATAACTTTGATCCCTGACTTGTATGAGTATTTCGTAACAACACTATTGTGAGGAAAATAAATTCTTAATATTGAAGAGGTGACAACAACTCTCTGATACTATTAATAGATGAAATTAAACTATGAAACTGCACAAACTAAAGGACTAATGGCTAAAGGAAGAAAGTTTGAGAGAAAGAGAAAAGTTAATCAAAGAGGAGCAAATCACAATCAAGGTTAAAATCTAAAGCACGTTTGATTAAGAATGTGTATTGCTATAAGTGATATAAGAAGGATTATTTAAGAGATTAATCAAAGTTAAACCATGAAAAAGGTTGTAAGCTTCACCCTTTTAATTCTACAAATGTTTCAAAGGATGAGACAATAAGTATTGATGGAGATATATTGTCAACACTCATTGCAATAGAAAACTTGCTCATAACAATATTCTCTAAGTGCAAATAGTCATAGATAATAAATTCAGAAAAACTTGCATCATTCATTGTCTAAATTTGGACTAGTTTGACACTTCCAAGTCAATTAATTCAATCAATGTTGTTATGGGCAATGATGATTCTTATAAGGTCATTGGAATTTTTACCATTAAAATTAAAATCTTTTATACTACTTTGATAACTTTAAGAAATATGAGACATGTTCTTGATCTCATGAAGAACCTAATTTTTTTGGAAACATTATATTTAGATGTCTTTACTTATAATATAAAAAATAGAACAGTAAAAATAAGTCTTAATAGTGATGAAATGAAAAGAATTTGCTAGAGAATATTTCCTAAACCTTGAAAACTATATGCTCTATTCATTCATGTTACAAGTGAGGATCATTGTTTAAGTTTATATTAACTCTTTGCAAATATACTTTGGATTTACTTAATTCTTTGTGGATGGTATGCTAATAGTTGCCAAAGATATGAATGCCATTGTCATACTGAAATCTTTGTTGAATAAAAAATTTGAGATGAAACATCTAGACTCAACTAAAAAAAATACTTGACATGCAAATTAATACATAAAAGAAATATGAACAGCTATGGCTCTCAAAAAATAAATAGATATAAAAAATACTAGAGTTGTTTTTTATGAGAAATATTAAATAGGTGAGTATTGATAACACGTGAATCATGAGTTATAAACAGATCTTAAACAGGAGTATTTTGAACATTGAGGGTGCTTTCGTGATTTTACTAAATTCTCCACTATCAATTCTAGTGATTTATTACTCTAGTAGGTGTCTCTTCCTTCTCTGGTGCTCTCTTCTAGGCCGTCAGATCCTTCTCCCATCATAGCGCTGTCTCCTCACTCCTACGAGCACCTCTTTTTGATGAAAGAAAAAAAGAATAGTGACACCATGTTAGCTTCGAAATGATTGAAGTTTCCATTTATCTTAGGTTATATATCAATTAGAAATTTAGGAGTATAAATTATGATTCCTTTGATTACATGTTTAACATTCTTCATATCTGATAAATCAGATCTTGATACACTGCTCCCTTCTTCCTTTCCAGTCCACGACCTCTAGTTCTCTTTCCCCCTCTATAATTCATTAGAATGAGTATAAATCAGTCAATCCAAATTCTCCTCTGAGATGACCTGACTTGCCACTATCTACAATTATTTTGTGAATCAGACTTAAACATAATTAATAATATCTTTGATTGATGAGATTAAGGACCAACAACACCTATAGTAAATCTAACTCATCAAGTACCCTTTTACTAAACCTTATAGTGATAAAAAAAGAAGAAAAAGGTACCAAAAAATATTTACAAATTGATCAAGAATGTAGTTGTATGTAGAGCTTCATTAGCCACAACTATAGACAACACATTATTTTAACACTTGAGGTAATACCATTTTTAGTGAAAAAAGTATAAAGTAGCTCCATACGGGATGTCTAATCAAGGGAGTCAAAATCTTATACATTAAAATTTTAGAAATATTATGTTATAAGATACCAATCTATGATTTGATTATAAGTAAGAAATGAGTTTTGAATTATGGCTATTAAGATGTCTAGGAACTCATGAATCTTAACTCAAAATATAAATATAATCACTTTTGGACTTTTATTGATGATCACTCAACAAAATTTTGAATTTAATTTATGAATCATAAGTCAAAGATTTTTGTAAAAATATAGGTGTGAAAAATAGAAGTTGAAAACAAAAAAATGAGTAATGTAAAAGTTTTGAGAATTCATAATGGTGCAAAGTATGAAGATATTAATTAAAGGTGACGTTGATGTAAATTTTACAAGTGATTTAAATAGTTGTCAACCTATGACATTATATGCATATTCTTGTAGAGGGACCACTTAATTGTAAATCCACATTTGAAGTGACAATAGCATTATGTATGACACAAGCTAAGTATATGACAATGACTGAGGTTCTTAACAAAACTTTGTAAATGAAAGGTGGACTGCCTCTAATTGAGAGGTTTAATCATTGCTTGAATTTTATTTAAATACCAACATATTCAAAAGGAAGATATCTTCTTGGATTAAATTGAAGATGGAGTACTAAACTTTAACGTTTAAAATAATTGGCATATTTGTTGCACTTTAGGCTGAACTTTGATAAAAAAAGGAGGGCTAAACTGATCGTATTCTAATTATAGATGTGGGTCAACTATTTCTATAGTTTTTTATCACCTTTCTTTGAACCTTATCATAAGGCCTTTATTTATGTGCACTCTCTTAGAACACCCATCTTCTTAGATTATGCTATACCAATTACTCACCACACAACTAATGATTATTGAGCTCAACTCGTGCAGAATATTAATTTGAAGTTATCTTCTAAAGTAATAACTTTAGGAGGTCAATGGTTGTTTACAGATTTCAACTTCCTTGAGTGATTAAATAAGGATTTAATCATAGGTTTTTTCTACGAAGATTATGAAGTATTTCACCAGGAATTGTTTCTAAGTAAGTGCATTGACTTGGAGAATGTCTAGAAAGCCAATGAAGAGGATAATAAAACATACTAGACTGTCTATTATCATTTTCTTAAAGGGAATTTGGTTGAATGTAAAAGGCCTGGCACTTCAATTTAGTTGAAGAAGAACTCATGTAGTTTGATTTTGATTAATTGAGTCATTAATTTTTTTTTGTTTGACCAACTAAGAATGTCATTATAATTCATATATAAATATTACAAAAAATGTCCACAAAACTCTCAAAATAGTACACAAGTTAGAGAAGATCATTCAAAACTAATTTGTTATTAAAGAGTTGTTGAATTTATAGGGAAATGAGATTTAAAAAACTCTTGTATTTATGTTTTTTTAAAATTTTAAACTCTAAAATTAGTTATAAATTCAAACAAATGGAAATTAATAGGAAATTACCTTTAAGAGCTTAGATATCCTCTATGAAAATTAATACACATGATCATTTAGTAATAATCTTTATATACATACATATTATATCTAAAGCATATCGATTTAATCTTTGTAAGGATCCATTACTATAGAAATATAGTTGATAATACATGTCAAAATAAAGTAATGATTTAGAAATCAAAACTTATTCAAATTACCTCAAAAAAATTAGGATCATCTATTAAATACATTGAATCACAATCAATATGTAAAATCATAATT